TTTACCCTGATCATCACTTTCTGATAGCAATCTCGTAGATGAAGCAAATTTTATTAATACAACCATCAAACAAGAAAGTACAAAGATAATTTGTCTATCCCGTGAAACTCAAAAGAGTGTGGAAAATTCACAGTAGACGATCATTTATCTAAAGATTTCTATCTCTTAACTCAAACCAAGTAAAGAACACATTATCTATGAAAGATTCGAATTAAACAACAACCCACACTAAGAATAGTAAGGACACCATTCAATATACTCGATCAGTCATCATTCAAGAGACTCAAGAAAGGTAGGAGCAAACAATGCTCAACTATGAAGGAATACTATTGATTAGTAATCTCCATAACCAACAAAGATATGCAACACATACACTATCTCAAAATGCTTATGCCAAAGCACAACTCATCCAACAAAAGTAGGACAAACCCCACAATGGAACTCATGAACACACACATCATGAATTTGAACACCAAGCCAAAAGAAAGGCTCATCAATCGAACTACTAGAAGTAGTATGAAAATAAGAAGTTTAGTTTTAAAACAATTTTATCAAAAAGCATACTTGAAAAAGAACGGTTTGCAAGATCAAAAGATCCAAGACAAGATGAAAACCCTCTTGGTTAAATCATACTTGACACAAAAAATGGACACTCCATTTAACGAAAATTCCTCACAGGAAAAACTCTCGAAAGAGACAACAAAAATGACCACTCAAGGGTGCTATTGAATTTCGGCTATGCCCCCTATTTATAGGCTAAGGAAATTCGGCCAGCACCAAAAAAAAGAAGATCAATTAGGACTCTCTAATCTTATCTCACGTAAGAGTAGAAGTAGAGGAGTATTTGATCTCTTTGACTCTATCTAAAATCTAGGAAACCTTATCTAAATGACTTATCCTCAAATAGGATAATACTTAGAAGAAATCTAAGACTCCCAATCAAAACACTCTAGTTTAATTCAGCCCATATGACTTATTTAACTAGATAAAAATTCGAAAATAACTCCTAGACTTAGACAAACCCTAATTCTCAAAAACCAGCCCAAATTATTGAAGTAAAATGTCTTGAACGCCCTTCCAAAAGTGAAATATTGGTCTTATGCCCCTCAAGTTGTAGAAAACTCCAATTTACTCCAAAACTTGTAGAATTCTCTTTATTGACTCCAAAAGATTGGAAAAACACTTGAAACAATTTAGATAGTTTGCAAACCTATCCAATTGTATAGCAATGGACTCAATCTTGAACACTTTGATCAAATAGGCCGTCCATTCATGAACCTAAATGATTCTTCTCTCTAGCTTGATCAATGATTTTCATGGAGCACATAGAGTCAAACTCCCTTGATACTCTTGAGCACTTATTTCCATGAGGTCATCATCTCCTTCGGTTTGAACCCCAAAGTTAATGACATTCTCATCATCTTGATCATAGCTCTCTTGAACCAACTCCCTATCACATAGGTAGTCAAGATCCATCCTTTCTTCCTTGATTGACTTGCAAAGTAAACTTGGCATTCCAAAACTAGAATGAAGAACTAGCTCATTCCCCTCACTAGGAGAATCACCATGGAAGGCTACATGATTCTTATCACTTTCATTGATGATTTTCCTCAGCAATACATCAATACAAGTAATATCAGTAAAAAAAGAATCTGAGGAGACAGATTTGGTACGAGATACCTTCAAGGTTACCTCGTAAAAATGATGAAGAATCCCAGCTACCCTCCTAGCTTCTACCCAATCCACTGTTGTAGGCAGTTCAGGACTTGAATTTGGCACATCAGGATCATATTTTAAAGCATCTTTATAGTGTTGTATACCAATTTCGAATCTCTTAAAGGCTCTTTCATAATGTTAAGCAATTTCCAACATAATAAATGTGGAATTCCATCTAGTACAAACATCTAAGACTAGGTTCTTAGAACTACCACACTTCTTAATTTCAGCACATTTTTTAAAGCTTGCTATTCTTGTAGGAGACTGTCGAATATACTTAACTGCACAGACTTACCTATATATGCCAAACCATCCTTAACAACTAGATGAATCACATGAGCCACACAACGATTAAGCAACCATTTTGCACCCAACACACAGTTTTCTCGGACAGCAAACTGCTCTTTCAGATACTCCAAAGCAGCATCATTAGAACTAGCATTATCAACAGTTATAGAAAAGACATTTTCATTTTCAATCCCCCACTCCATCAAACATTTTTCAATTTCAGTCCCAATATCAACCCCCCTATGACTTGTAATGGAACAAAAACTTTAAAAAAAATTCAAAACCCATTTATTATCCACATAATGTCCAGTCAGACACATATAATTAATCTACTGCACAGAAGTCCAAGTATCTGTCGTCAAGCAGATTCTACAACCCAGACCCTTAAGCTCAAGTTTTAATTTTGTTTTTTCAGATAAATACAGTTTATAGCAGTCATAAGCTACAGTTTGCCTACCCTTAGGAGTAAAAAATGGCTGCAACTTCCTAACAAAATACCTAAACCCAGGTTTATCAACAAACCTAAAAGGCAATTCGTCAACTGTTATCATACTAATCATTGCCCTAATGATTTCTGCTTCATCATACTTCCAAGTATCTATATTCCCTTGTTTTCGCTCCCAAGGCTCAACAACGAGCTTAGACTGACTAGGATCATGCTTCTGAGCTAAGTACGTCTTACAAGTAGTCAAATGGCTATGAAGACTACTTTTGCCATGTTTCTTAGGATCAACTATATAAGTACTCTTACAATAACTACAAGTAGCCCATATTTCACTATTAGGCAATGTAGATTTTGAGAAATGAGACCGTACCACAGACCTATTACAAGTTACCCTGCGCTGCTTCGGAGATTTTGGGTTTTTAGCTCGATGGCCTTGACCTTCAGGCTTTTCGTTTTGGTCCTCTCAATCTCCACATCTACCATCAATGAATCATAAGTAGGCAAATCCAGCATAGGAGGCAGTGAACTATCCTCCACTTCAATCTCCTCAAACTCACCTTCATCAAAATCAGGCATCTAAACAAAAAATTGAACATTTTAGTTACAGTTCACAACAGCAACAAGTAACAAATTTATATAGTCACAAACTAAAGGTAAAATCAGTTAATCACAGTTGAGTAGTTGACAGAAAACGATGAAACATATTACAAGATAAAAACAACTCTCATAAGCTGCAAATTATGTAACTAGTACAGTTCAAGCAGTTCAGTTACAGTTCAGTGGTTCACATATTAATATCACAGCTACAACTATAAGAGACCACATCTTTGCTAACCTAAGTACCTAACTGATCACTTCATTCCAAATCATTTGATGCAACAGAACCGACTTCAGACAATCAGACCAACAGAACAAGTGGTGCATTCAAGACTCATAATTAGTAAATTCAATGAAGATAGAAAAACAGTTGAAAAATATCTCACCTTAAAGATAGTAACTGTCTCAATCAAATTTCAATTCTTAGTCCTACATTTAAAGGGTACAAAAGCAGTTAGTAATGATCAACTTTGCAATGAATGAAACTATGAAAGAATTAAAGAAGTCACATTGCATCTTTGCAATAGAAGTACAACTTCAATGTCATTTGCACAACTCAAACAAACACTGGAAACAATATAAATGCCTAGCTAGAGCAGTTACAAACAACACATACAAAAATTAAAAAGCCAATACCCATTTGTAAGCCTACAGCACCAAAGAGAACACACAACACCACTGTCACCATCACCAATTAAGGTACAAAACAAAAGGCTATACAACAGTTTCAGTTTCACCAAAAGAAGCAAAGAACCAAATCACAATAAGGTATAAACAGCAGGATCAGGAATCAGGACAGTAATACTAATACATAATCAACATTAAACATTCACTAATTCACGAACAGAAAGAAATAGAGAAACAAGACGAAATTTTACCTTATCAAACTTGAATATGAATCGAATCCTTATCCTGCCATCCTGGTCCTGCATATAAAAAGACAAAAAAAAAATCAATAAGTAATGCTATCGCCTATCAATAATGATTTCATAAAGGAACAAAACAAAGTAATGATAAACATTCTTGATTATTTACCTAGGAAAAGTGAGCTTACTAATGAAAAGTCAGCACGGAGCTATCAGACTTCAGTCATTCAAAGGCGAGGCAACCTCCGACAAGGTGATAAGCTCCGTCAGCGTCAAGCTCCGAAAAATTATTTTTTCAGATCAAATCGAATGGATTTGGGAAAATTGAGCTTCAAACCGTCAGTTTTCAGAGCACTAGAGCAGCAGCTCTTCGATGAATATTTTTTTCTTAAAAGAAAAAAGAAATCTATTTGAAAACATAACCCTAGATCTGGACCGATTAGTGTTGGTGGTGGATTGGACCGATTGGTGGATAACTGGAAGGAAATGGGAGGTGGTGAAGTGATGTGTGTGATTGTGGTAGTGGTTTTGTGGTCGGAACGTCAACGGCGTTTGGATAGCGTCACGGCGACCGGCGGAAGAAACAAGGGTTAGAGAGAAATGGGAGAAAAAACGAAAGAGGGAAAAAAAATGACTCAACCCTAAAATTTTTCTATATATATGACATAAACTAAATTAATAAAATAATAAAAATTAATTAAATTATTTCTTATTCGGGTATTCGTACGGTTCCTAGATAAGAATGTCCAAAACCGAAACCGAACCGAGAAAACACTTCGAGTAGTTGGTATGGCCGAAATTTCCCGAATTCGGCTGATTGGCCGAACAAATAACCCGAATAAGTCCCGGGTCGGGCGGGTAATCGAGTAAGGCCGATTGATTAGCAGCCCTAGTTTTTTCTTGAGTTTTTTTGATGTGATTACAAAAATTTTTTCGGAATAAATGGTTACTATATAAATAAATGAGATGAGGTCATAATTCTTAAATTTTTTTTCTCCCAAAACTTTGTATGATCAAAGTGGACGTAATTTAATAATCCATATTGCACAATGTCTTAAGATTTATGTGTTTCCACCTGATCCGATCTGATTATTTTCGTGATTAAAAAGAAAAATAAAAACAGAAATTCCCTGGGACATGTGAATGTGATGAATTTTTAACAATTTATTCTGATCTATTTTCACTGCGTTTCACTCTTTCACTGATTTCATCTTTTTTCCTTCTGAGATTTCAGGAATTTAAAAGAAAAAAAAAAGCAAAATTTAAATAAATAAACCCTCTCTCTCTCCAACTCTCGCCATTTCTGAGGCAGTTTTCTCTCACTAGCTCTCTCTCTCTCACACACACACTCACACAGTCACTCGTCAGCTGTGTCTCTCTCTGTAGCGAATTACGATAGCTTGTCGCTGTGAGCAATGAGAAGGTAAAGTTCAGTGCTGATTCAGTTACCTTTACTCGATTTGGATCTGAGTTTTATTCAGTTTTCTGTCTCTTTCTGGAGATTTGGTTGTGATGATGAGCTCGAATTACAATGCAGGCATGGCGGACAACGGTACCATCACCTGATCAAGAACGCCAATGGCGGAGGAGTGAAGGGAATGTTTAAAGTACTCTCAATTGCGGTCATTCTACTTGTGATTTTCATGCTGGCGATTATGAAGACTTTCAATTCTCCTCTTCCTCCAGCCGATGTAATTTTTTTCTTCTTGTCTCGTTTCTTTTTTTTTTTTTTGAAGTTTTTAGTTTTTTTTTTTTACTGTTAGATAGTGGTTGAAAGCTTGATTTGTAGCTTAAAGTTATTTCACTTTCTTATTTTTGTTTATTTATTTGTTTATTTTTTCAAAATTTTAGTTATCAGTGATTATAATTAACAAGGTAGATAAGAGTGGGTAACCTTTTTGATTTTGCATAATTTCTGTTCGTAACTGCTTCGAAGTGTTGGGAATATGGGAAATCTAATTAATCTTGTAGTACTGTATCTTAGTTTTCCTATCTCTGACATCGCATATTGATCTCTATTACTTTAGTTGAAGAGTATTAAGGTTCTCAGAATTTCAGTTTCTGGTTTTAAAATCTAGGAAGATATGTTTGTACATGGAAGCATGCTTCTCGATTTGTTTATCCAAGCTTGGCATTTGACTAACAAGTACGGATTAGGTTTGGGGCTTTTTGGGTGTGTATTATTCAGTGATGGGATTAGTTTCTGAAATGGTATAGCTTAGATCAGCTGAAAACGTTATTTTGTGGGAGGCATGTGAACTGAACTGGGAGCTGTTTCCATCTCTTAAATCAAGTAAAAAGAAATTATTTATATGTGAGCATGTGTAGTTGTGGATAGTGTAAGCTAATGAAGAGTGCATGAGGGATTTTGCTCTGCAGCAATTCCTTAGTCACTTAATGCAGGCTGCCCATCTGATGCTTCACCATTGGTTGACTATTTCTACCATTTCTTGTCTGTCATGAAAACCTTCTGGTTTATATTTTGACATGTAAAATCTGATTCTTGTCTGTCATGAAATCCTTCTGGTTTATATTTTGACATGTAAAGTCTGATTACAACTGATGTTTGTTTATGTCTTAAGCATTTTTATTTGAACCTCATATTTGGATTGTTATATTTCATCAACTTGTTTTGCTTTGTAAAAGTTGACATGTACTATCCAGGAAGAAATAAACATGGTTAGTGGTTAGTGCTAAATTCTGGAGCAAAGATGCGGGAAATCGCTGATATCCCATACCCGCTTTCCATATCTCCCTCGCATAATATTAAAAATCAAAGAGTGAACTCAGCACAGTGGTCCTTGTTCAAGAATGATAGTCTTAAAGTAGCTCTAATCCCTTCTCCAGTTCGTTTTTTATTTTTTCCTCATTAATTTCTTCAACATCGTGTTTCCCTGAAGTTCTTTGATATGAATTTTTGGATATTATTTTTAGAGAGATGGAAAGTTATTTTATGTACATTTCTTTCTCATCTTATCTTTTGCCATTTGTACAGATTAATGTGGATACTCTTTGGCAATCAGCTGCTGCTGGTGGTTGGAGACCATCTTCTGCTCCTCGATCCCATTGGCCTCGTAGGTCTTTTGTCTTGAAGTTGTTGGACTATTGTGATTTTGTAATTGAATATATTATTACGTACACCTTCATATCTTATTTCTCTACCCCTTACAGCTCCTACAAAAGAGACCAATGGCTATTTGCGTGTGAGGTGTAATGGTGGTCTGACTCAGCAACGCACTGCGGTATGAGTTCTCTTTTCTTTTAAAGAAAAACTCTTGGCGTCTTATTCTTTATTTCCTGCTACTCTATTTCTGTTGCGATCACCGGATTTTCCCTCTGGTTATGCATGATTATTGTAAAGCCTTAGTTTGGTCAGTGGGTTTTTAATTAAATTTTCTTTCAATCTTAATATTAGATCTGTAATGCCGTTGTTGCTGCACGGATTATGAATGCTACTCTAGTGCTTCCTGAGCTGGATGCAAACTCGTTTTGGAATGATACCAGGTAAGTATGTCTCTTAGTACTGTTCTTTATTTATTTAATAGTGGCCAATAATTCTGGAATTTATGTGCAAGTTTTTATAATTGGATTATGTTCGAAACTTAATAGCTGACTCCATAGAAAGATATCTGAAAATTTTATATTAATTTATTAGGTTTTGAATGTTTGACAAATGGAGAAATTTCAATCTAAATTTGTTGAGGAGAGACAGGAAAAATGTGATTAGCTATGAAATGCCTGGTTCTGGTTCTGTGATGTTAAGACTGAACTTAATTTTTTCATGATATCGTGAAATTTTGCTACACTTATATACATGTTTGTGTTTGCTTTTGATGACTTAAAGGAGGAAAAGTATGTTTGGTGGTTTAGTCTATGTGATCTTGTGTTATTGAAGAGCACTGCTCGTGCTTAAGCACTAATGTCTTTGATCTCTAGCATTCTTTATGTTGATTTAGTTGTTTGGATTGATTTCCATCTCTTAGTTTAATGGCTGTAAATAGTGCTTACAACTATTAGATATTGTCTTTAGACTCTGCACATGCAGTAGAACTTGTCCTTAAAAAAAGAAGAAGTTAGTAGCATTCCTACAACAGAAGTGATCAATGTCACTTCTCTATTAAGAGTGTTATGCGGGATGGGTTAATTAAATCAAAGGAATCATATGCTTTTCCTGTTATTGTACCAAATCTTACCAGCTTAGCTGGCTTCAGAAAGCTTTGAGGTGGAGTTTAAGAAGATTTGAGCTCTTTACCATATTCCGCTATCTAGGGGAAGTAGAATCATTTAGTAAATGCCTTAGTTGTGTCTATCATTAACCTTGTTTGTGATGTATCTTTTGCTTTATATGACTTTCAAAAATTTATTCAAGACTAGTGCTGCATATGCTCTGTTTTAGCTAAGTATTGGATAGGTTTCTTACAGATAGGGGAATAATTAGATTGTTATGATGCTTTATGTAAGAAGAAGACAATGTTGGCACTTCCCTTATCAATTTTTGTTTCCTCTCTTCACTCTTTTGTAGTGGTTTCAAAGGACTCTATGATCTTGAGCACTTTGTCAAGACACTGAGAAATGATGTCAATATTGTGGAAAGGATGCCTGAATTTTGGGAGAAAAATGGGAAGAGAAAGAAGATTAAACCTTTTAAGGTAAAATTCTCAAATGCAGTCACATGAAAGTAATTACATACTTATCAAATACTTATTCTTACTTTCTTTGATTCAGATTGACCCTCCTAGAGATGCTCCTATCAGTTGGTATGAAACCAAGGCTTTAGAGAAGATGAGGGAGCACGGCGCAATTTATCTTAGTCCTTTCTCACATCGTTTAGCTGAAGAAATCGACAAGCCTGAGTACCAGAGGCTGAGATGTCGGGTGAACTATCATGCCCTTAAGTTTAAGTCGCATATTATGGAGTTAAGTAAATCAATCGTGGACAGGCTTCGTGGACAAGGTCATTTTATGGCGATACATCTTCGCTTTGAGATGGATATGCTGGCATTTGCTGGGTAAATATCTGGTTTTCTCCTTTACCAAAAGAAACTCTCGTTGGAAAGTCTTTAATCTCTTTTAAACTCCAGTACCGGATGAAAAAAGAAAAGAAAAAATTTGACAATCTGTGGAATGTGTTAGCAGATGTCATTCTGACTTTTATGTGTGGATCAGAAGATCTTTCTCAGTTATTCGACTTGTGTTTTTGTTTTTTTCTTTTGGGATTAGAAAATCTTTTGAGTTAACTTTTTGGCTTAAAACAATTTCAGGTGCTATGATATTTTTTCACAAGCAGAACAAGAAATTTTGAAGGAGTATCGGAAGGTGAATTTTGCACCAAAGGAACTTGTATACAACCAAAGAAGGGCTATTGGAAAATGTCCCTTGACTCCAGAAGAGGTATTTTTTCCTGACATTGTTATTGATGTTTTTCTGAAAGAGTTTTTACTTCCTTCCTAATCTGCTGTTTGATACCCCAGTAGTTGTATTTTGCTTTCTGTTATATGTACACGTTATCATTGGAATATAGCATACACCACGAAACTTGTTTAAATTTTACAAGTGTGGAATTATTTGTGAAGTCTGTTTTTAAAGGTAAGAAATGCCACAATTTGGTGAAGTCTTATCTGAATCAAAGACATCGAAGACTCCTTCCTCTAAAGTGGCTTTTTCCTCGTATATCAAATATTTTTTGCCCTCAGTGCAACCTATTTCTTTTCATAAGTGGGCCTACTGTATCTCATCTTCATTCATCGAATTTTCGTATATATTCTCGAATCTTCTCTTGAGTTTTCTTTTCCTTTTCTATTTTAATAACGGTTGAAGCTTTTAGTTTTTATTAATCAAATATGTACATATGTTTTCCATATTATGTCATTCGAAACTTTCGCAATTAATAGCAGATGTATAACTGGATGAAACTGCTATCTGATTCTTTTGACAACCTAATGTCCTTGTGAATGTGCATCAAGGCTGCTTAAATTTTTCAGACCTAATTTATCTCACAATTTTAGGTCACCATTTGTTATTTCTTCGGTTCTGTGGGCTTCAACGTTAGGAAGAATTCTTACAGCATGGCCCTGTTAGGGTGGAAAAGATCAGTTGAGCACTTGAGATATTTTGCTGCTAACGTACAGTCTTATTGTTTATACTCTCAAGGTTGTCTAGTTTAGCACAAAGCTTGAATTTTTACTGGAGTGAGAAGAAGTACGAAACTGGCAATATATGAATCTCCGCTTTTCTGCTGATTTTGATCTGAATTCTGATATATTTTGAATAATACTGAGAAATCTTGGTAAATGTTGAAAGAAACTGTGACTGTGCTCCTGTTAGCCGTCTGCAAAAAATAAGAATGGCAGAGAGTCGGATAAAGTAGCCTTCCCTGTTTGCATTACTCTACAGCTTGAATTTCAGCTGGTGGTGTCGTTAATTGATGATTGGGTCATCTGTTAGTTGAAGATTTTGTTTTTAATACCTGAAATTCTTTGTAAATTTCATGCTCATGAATGTCAGCAGTCATCCATTTTGTTTTACTTCTATAAGACTTGTTCATTCTTTCTGTTATCATGTTTTCTGTTAAGTGTTTGGCCCTCTTTATTTTGTTTTATGACCTCTAAAACCTTTTCACAACTTAATACACTTGTTTGTGCTTGCTGATGATACTTGCTAATATACAACAACAACAACAACAACATACCCAATATATTCCCAATTCGGTTGGGGTCTGCGGGGTCAAGATGTACGCAGCCTTACCTCTATATTTCAATACAGAGAGGCTGTTTAAGTATTACGACCCAAGATGCATTGGTGCATTGATATATTGATTTCCGGCAACTTCACCAAATTAAGAAGCGTCGGAATTTGAATGAGCCATTTTGATCTAATCCATTATTAGCACAAAGCTGAAAGAATTGTCAATAATGACTCTTACAGCTCCATTTGTGATGGATAAAATGATACTTGCTAATATGTTGTTGCTTATTTTCTTTACATGCAGGTTGGTCTTCTGCTGCGTTCAATGGGTTTTGACAACAAAACTAGAATATACCTTGCGTCTGGAGAACTGTTTGGTGGGGAGAGATTTATGGGGCCTTTTAGGTCCATGTTCCCTCGGCTTGAGAACCATAGTACTGTTGACATCACTGGTGAGCTTGCTAAAAACACGAGGGGCCTGTTGGGTTCTGCTGTGGATTACATGGTTTGTCTTCTTGCTGATATTTTCATGCCAACATATGATGGACCAAGCAACTTTGCAAATAACATTATTGGGCAGCGGCTCTACTATGGTTTTCGTACTACACTTGTGCCTGATCGAAAGGGTCTTGCTCCAGTGTACATTGCTCGGGAAAATGGGGAAACTGCTGGTTTTGAGGAAGCTGTTAGGCGTGTCATGTTGAAAACCAATTTTGGAGGACCCCACAAGCGGATACCACCAGAGTCTTTCTATACAAATTCTTGGCCTGAATGCTTCTGTCAAAAGTCAGCAAAGAATCCTGCTGATGAATGTCCAGTGACAGATAGTTCAGAAAGCTTGGAGAACAGTGGAACCTCTGAGGGTGTATCTATCAAGTCAAACTTGGTATCCGAAACAGTATAGTTGGAATTTGAACCACTGTCCTAGGGATTTAGCAAAGGAATCACACGTAATGCATCTTCACGTTGCTAGCTGGAATGTATAAATCAATTTTACAGGTATTCTTCATCTGATGTTCTACTTATTGGTGCATATGGTTTTAGTTTTTGGTCATTATCTGGCTTATAGCTTTTCCTCCTAGAACTTCAAAAATTCAATGTGCCAAAAGTAAAAATGTTCAGAGACCTCGGGTATTGTAGTTATGGTTCTCTGCCTATGGAACTTTTGAGCTAAGTCTACTCATTAACATGTTACTGCCCAAGTTACTATTTTTGGGCGTTGGCACTAGTTTTCATCCACTTTGCTTCTAATGAGTTACTTCCCCTGAGAAACTTGTTGCTTGGTATCGAACTATGGGACACAAGAAGATCTATGTATCATGAACATATCTGGTTGTGTGAGTTGGTGTTTTTTTCCGACTCGTGTAGTTCTGTTGTACATTTTGTGTGCACTGTTGTTCAGAGTAATATCCTTATTCAACTTCTTGTCTACAGATAAATGTTCGGGATGCTGGCCCTTGTTTTGTAAAGTAGAGTTTTGGCCAGGTGATGGCAGTACAGAAGCCGTGCGTTTGAGGGAAGCATACAGCGTAGATTTATTGTTTAACAATTTTTTTCTTCCTCTTCTTTATCATCTGTTCTTTGTGCCGGAAATTCTGATTGATTAAGATAGGAAAGAGTTAATATGGGAATAGCAAATGATTGAGCTACATTTTCTCACGCCACGAAAACATTCCTTCGAAGACTTCGAAATGTAAAATGTATCTGGCTTACAAGTCATTTTGTTCTCAGAACTTGTTAGTTGGTATACATAAGGGTCGCCATGTTGTATTAGCCTGCCTACTGTGTTTTAGTCGTTGAATTGAATTATTATTGCGTTTAAAGCTCTGTACATGGTTTGCTGGAGCCTGAGAGATTCATGATAATTTTGCTTAATCTCAAAACAGCCGTATATTAGGGCCCAGTTTATTCTCCTCTCTGCTTGCTCTTCAATTTTGTGACAGCCTGGAACTTTATAGATCCAACCTTTTTTACGAAAATGTAAGCCAAGGAGAACGAGATCCGCAAAATTTAGCACGACAATATTCTTACGAGGAAAAGCGCTGGCCACCGACAAACATGCAGTGGTAGTTTGGTTTTCACTTTTAGTTCAAATAACAATTATTTTGGGACAAGAGAGTAGCAAATAACTACTAAGGTTAAATTGACTAAGCAAATAGAACAGCTGAAGAGGTTTCAACTTGCAAATTTGATATTGCGTTGTGAAACAAAAAAAATCATGGAAATACTCTCCCTCAAGGAAAGATTAAACCAACATCATGATCCTAGCTACATATATGTCTCCTGATCAAACAGACTAGAATATAGAGGTGTTTCCGCTTGCAACAAAAAGAGACATAAAAAAGTAGTCTAAGATACTCCCTGTGTCCCAGAGAATAATAGTCTTGTGGTTTTCTCAGTGTAAGATACTTTGAGAAAAATAGTCTACTTCTATTATTGTGTTCTAATTTAACAGTGTACTAATTTAACAGTGTACTATTTTCCATCGTTTTGCTTCTTCATTAGGCATGCCACAGCTCAGAATTTTAAGTTGAAGCTAATAATCTTGCCCTCTCCCCATGGTGAACAAGCAAGAAATTGTTTCAGGAGTTTCTTGAATTCGGGAAATGGCTGACATATCTGCAGACTCGTTCTCTTTGGGTGTAGCGGATGCCAGAGATATCCAACTCGCCTCCGACGATCTCAATATCTGTCACTTCCCACAAGTTAGCGAGCTGGAAAAACGAAGTGCGCGCACCATAACTTTTTAATGTCAAAATATTATAGAATCGCTTAGATAATTCTTGGCGGTTGTAACCACATTGGTATCTGATGGTTCCAGGGCGACAAATCCACAAAATCCCCTGCAAAATTGCACTTTGATTGGCTGATAATGCTGACTCTGTCTGCGGAGATTCATGAGTAGATGATGCAGAAAACTCCTCAGGTCGAATTATTTCTATATAAAATTCTCGAATCTCCGGGCAGGGGTGAGCTACAGAATTTGATTTTTGAGCATCCACTAAATAGAATACCACATTCTTGGGGAAGTCCACAATGATGGAAATTTCAGACCCTTTGAGAGCTGTGAGGAATCCCTTCAGTTGTACAAACCATGATGTATCCATGTCTATGCGGGATTCGAATTCGATGAGAGAGATCCATTTGTTGCTCGAGACTCCAGTAAATGATACCTTAGGCATCATCATCTTCCTCATCCTTTCATGATAAACATGGTTTCCGTACTCAAAAACCGCAATGCTAGGCACATCGAAATAAGCCTCTCGCAAATCTTTGTTACCTATCAGCAGTATCTACTTCAGTGACCGGCTTGCAACATTGATTGTCCTCAAGTTTTGGTCTCTTTGGATTGTTAACTCTTCAAATTGGGGGAATTTCCGGGCCCGGAAAGAGTCCATGGAAAACCTGTCTCCCAAAGCATTGCGGAGGACCAACCTTCTGAGGTTACGGTATTATGAATTGGGATCAAACTTAAGCCGTTCAGGATCTTCTTCTTCCTTCCAGTCAGAGTCTTCGCAGTAACAATCTACAGATTCCAAATTCGGTGTTTCGGCAACTTCAACGGTTTGATGTTGACTTAACATGATATCAATTTCCCTAAGCTTGTGAAGATTGGAAACCTTGAAATTCAATGCATCCCAGCAATTGCTAATCTTCAGGATTTCAACCAAAGGACCACCCTCGATTACCCTTTCGAATGTCATCTCTCCGGAGAAATTCAATTCAGCAAGAGTTAACCTTTTGAGGTTAGGCCAGGTTATTGTGGATGTGTTCTTCTCCGAAATAGTACAGCCCGACAAACTCAATTCCTCCAACGTTGTAACTTGAAAAACAGAGGAAGGCAGGACATAATCAGTCATGCGCAGATCAAGGCATCTCAAAGGTTTTCTTGTGGCTAATTCAATGCATTGTTCAAAAATATCTGAATCTCAACATTCAGAACCCCATCGATTCCAATAACAACTCACTTTGAAAGTGTCAAAAACAGATATTTGGCTGTGGTACCTTTCCAAAGTGGACAACATATACTGGCGTTTTGCTGCGGAAGTGTCAGGCCAGGACGGCCGGCAATGGAAATCCAAACGGGGGCGTGTGCGAATCGCGCTCAACAACTCCTTTTATACGACACTTCATTGGATTGCTTCTGTGGATGTGAGATACGAAACTATTTGATGAATCATTTCTTCAGGCAGATCTGATGAGGTTGCCATGGCTGCAGAGTTGCTTCAGAATTTGTATCTAATATATAGACCTGATTTCTGGGAGAAGAGCTATCAGCAAAATTAACGTTTTTTCAGAGGCCCAAAATCCCACCTACGTAAGCACCCGGACTAAAGCAAGCACGAGATTAACAACACCTTTTGGAAATTCAATGAATTAATCCCAATAAATTAGTCGAAAAAAATACTGCCATAACAGGTGATGGGAATATAATCTGACAGAGTACTTGAAAACTTAACGAAATTGGCAAACCCTAGCCGTAGGGATATAAGAAAGCCACTCTTTCAAAGCTACAAAAGCTTAATATTAAGAAAGTAAAATTTTGCCCTCGCTTATGATTTTGCTAGAATTCAGCCAGCCGTGATTAATTTCTTCCTTCTTTTTTGGTCATTCTTTTTCAACTTCACCACAGAGGCTTCTGTTTGCAATATCTTTACTTGGTGATAGTTCTTAACTTCTTCAAAACTCATTTTTTTAGTGTTTAATTTCCATTTATTGATTCAGTGCCGACTGGGCGCATCAATTGATATAGTAATCATCGGGTGAGATCAATTTATGACAGTTATCTCATTTAAGAGGTTCTTGGGGGCTTAGATTCATGCACTGATTTTGTGTTGAAAAAGAATGGGGCATCTAAAAATCGAATCAATTGCAATTAAACTTTTGTGATTGTGCATGGTTATTTATAGTTTGACTTTTGCCCTGCATGGTAGATGTTAAAGGAATATAGCCCCCGTCCCAAAAATAATAGTTTACATTGAGTTTTTATATTTGTACTAGTTTTAGTACAATTCTCAAATTCAATGCTGGACTATTTCTTTTTTAGTTTTTATAGAGAGTAGTTTTTTTTTTTTTTTTAGTAGTAGAGAGTAAATTTTTTGGCGTAAGGAGCTTTTATCTTTTTTTTTTTTGGTATTTTTCCATTATTGCATGCCCATAAATATAAAATGTTAAAATCAATGATATCGTAACTAGAGTGATATTGATAAACATGGTGGCTCAAAAAGTGAAAAGAAATTTAGTTGTGATTTATCTCGAATTTCATTAAAAAAACAAAACAAATATACGTGGATTATTTAGAAAATATAATTACACCGAATACAGACATTTTTTCCTCACATTAAATATCAAACGATTTGTGGAGTTAGTTTATTCAAAGCTTTGATAATCCCGAAATTTCATGTTACTATTAGATTACTGAATTTTTTAGAAAGACTAGCAGCACGTTTATTAAATCCCACAATCTGTCAATCAGTCATTAAGTGCCCATATCAAACTCCATAGTTCAAGTTCAAACAATTTCAAAAAATTATGGTGGACCTAGAAAGACATGTAAAACCCTTATAAAAAGCCATAAATGAAGAAAAAATTCAGAATACTCGAACCAACAATCGCCAAATGCTAGATCAGCCGACGACAACAACAAACGATGGTGAGAAAAGGAAGGAAGTTCGGAGGGGGGTTGGCCACAACTTCGTTCGATCAACTTTGTTCAATTCCCTTAATTGTTGCATTAGGTTTTTTTATTTTTTTACTTTTTCCTTTTTGGAGAGTCTTGAAGACTTGAACACAAAAAATAAAGAAGCTAGATTTAGACTAGTGTAGTTTTTTTTTTTTTTTGTGGATTTGTTGAGAAGTTCATCACGTGGCTCCATACAAAAGAATTTGAGAAATCATTCAAAATAATTCTTTCTCACAATAAAATTTTCCCAGTGCCTTATGTTTATAGTTCACCAACTTTGGTAGAATAGGAACAGTATATTTTTGTTGTAACATGTAACTACTTTATTTCGTTGAGGCAGTGAATTGTCATTTGGTGTCAAAATATTGTTGATTACTTTTTTTCTTTTCTTTTTTTAAAAAAACAATCATTCATTAACTATAGCTTGAAATGGTCCAACACCACTTGAGATACTAAGTTTAGAGGTTCACTCCAAATAGTTTCGAGTACAGAAATCGATTTGGCATATTTTATAAGAGAATGAGCTATTGTGTTGTCCGATCTTGAAATATATACTATGTCTTCCAAAACCGGAGAGCAAGTAGAGGAACCATCAATCTCTTCCAAAGCCGCCAAAATGATGAGAGAAGAATCGCCTTGAACAGCAACATTTATAAGCCCTAATCTTCGGCAGAATAATAACGCTTCTCGCAATGCTAGGGCTTCAGCCAAATCGTAATCCATAACGTCCAGAAATTATGTATTAAAATTTTTTTTCCGTTCTTTATTTGCACTAATTTGAAGGATTCTTCTGCAATATTACAGGAATATAAACCTTTGTGACTAATTAAGTTAAATTTTAAAATTATCTTCAAATCTAATCTCTTAATTTTGATATTTTTAACTTGTGAAATTGTAGGTAACTAGCCAAATGTTCATATAATCATTTTAGTTTAATATTTAGTTTAATATTGAGGACCATTTTCTGATTTTAGTCGGAAACGACATTATTATGGGTAAAATGTACTATGTTTTCAAAACTCAAATTTCTAAATATCTTTTGCTTAGAGTATGATTTTATAGACACCAAACCAGAGATATTAAATTACTGATGATAAAGCTGGAAGACCCTATATAATTCTTTCCGAAGGAAATGATAAAAGGATTTGTAAAAGATAGTAACCTTGAAAAACACAATAAGTTCAGTTTTTGTTACATGTCAATAGAAGTACGAAACAAACCTTGGACCTCCTTTGGTAGTCCAGTTTTTGATAGAATCAACCTTCCTATATATCTCAGGTGAATTTTCAATCAGACATATGGCACAAATTTAGATATGTTAATTCACATGACGAAAAAATTGATAACCAAGTCCACATGTCACAATCACATCGCTTCATCATTTAATAGTAATTTTTAATAATAAAATTGTGCAATTGTACAATTAAAAAATTACCATCATTTAATGGTAATTAGAGTCCAATTCCTACTTACCCGAAAATTTTGACCAAGGGCTAAGGGCAAACTTATTTTTACTGGAATTATACAATTATTAGTTCTTTGTGTTTATTCCCGAAGTTTATTCCCGAAATAAAACTTACAGTGTGTTATATGAAGAATCATCCAACAATAATTGACTATGAGAAAAAGCTTCAGTTTCATATACTTATATCAATCCAAACAAATTCAAAGATAACCATTTGAAATAAAAAATAAAAAAACTAAAAAAAAACAATTTATTAGCTAAAAGAAAAATGATGGCCGTGATGGAAAAAATAAATTCACCAATCAATATTGATTTTTATAGTTATTTGTTAAAATATAACCATTAATCGGGTTTTTTTATTCGTTAGTGTATTGGTTTTTTATTGCTTTTTTTGACGGTAATGTATTTTTTGCTCCTCAACGGGCAATATTAATAAATAATTACTATTAATTAAATGTGTAAAATTAAATTATGAAAGAAAATAATAATAATAATAATAATAATAATAATAATATATCAATCGGCCAATTTACAATTAGTCCTTTGTGTTTTTTTCCCAAAATAAAACTTAGTGTGTTATATGTAGAATCATCCAACAATAATTGACCATGACAGACAAAAACCAGTTTCAAAAAATTATATCAATCAGGACAAATCCAAAGATAATCAATTGACACAAAAAACGAAAAAAACAATTTATTAGGTAAAAACAATGACGGCCATAATTAAAAAAATGAATTCACTAATCAATATTGATTTCTATAATTGTAAGTTAAAATGTAACCGTTCATCTGATTTTTTTCTTTTTTATTTGTTAGTGTGTTAGTTTTTTAATGATAATATATTTTTCCCCCTTAACAGGCAATACTAATAAATAATTATTATTAATTACATCGTGTAAATATTACAAAAGAAAAAAATAATTATAACACTAATAATATAATTATACATTAATCAATCAAAATTTTAATAATATAATAAATGATTACTAATATATTAATATAATCATGTAAGAAATTTATTAATATTTCTAAATAATAAAATGGTAGAAAAAGTTAACGCTATACTGATAAAACAAAATATAGAGATCAATGTGGAGAAATTTTTTCAAAATGAGAAAAAGAATATTGAGAACTAAAAATACTTATGCGGAGGAAAAAAAAAAAGGGAATAAGAAAATATGAAAAACAAACTAAGATAAGAGTCAAAAATGAAATAATTATCAAAATTTTTAATTTTTAAACAGATGAAGACTATGGAACCAAAAAAAAAATAAAGTAAATATCATATGACATGAAAAATTTCTAAAGAAAGATTGCAAAAGGTGTATAGAGAAATGGAAAATAAAGATAAGTTAATAGAAAAAATAATGAGAAAATTTTCTGTTAGAGGAAAAATTTAAAAGATATCACGAGTATAAATATTTAGAGAAATCATTATGGAAAATTAAGAGAATACTTTTGATGAGAATCATGTAGCCTTCCATGGTGATTCTCCTAGTGAAGAGAATGAGCTAGTCCTTCATTCCAGTTTTGGAATGCCAAGTTTACTTTGCAGACCAATCAAGGAAGAAAGGATGGATCTTGACTACCTATGTGATAGGGAGTTGATTCAAGAGAGCTATGATCAAGGTGATGAGAATATCATTAACTTTGGGGTTCAAACCAAAGGAGATGATTCACTCATGGAAATAAGTGCTTAAGAGTATCAAAGGAGTTTGACTCTAGGTGCTCCATGAAGATCATTGATCAAACTAGAGAAGAATCATTTAGGTTCTTGAATGGACGACCTATTTGATCAAAGTGTTCAATATTGAGTCCATTGCAACACAATTGGATAGGTTGCAAACTATCTCAATTGTTTCAAGTGTTTTTCCAATCTTTTGGAGTCAATAAAGAGAATTCTACAAGTTTTGGAGTAAATTGAAGTTTTCTAAAACTTGAGGGGCGCAAGACCAATATTTCACTTTTAGAAGGACATTCAAGACAATTTATTTTAATATTTGGAGCTGATTTTCGGATTTAGAGTATTATCTAGTATAGGAGTTTAATTTTCAAATTTATCTAGTTAAATAAGTCATGTGGACTGAATTAAACTAGAGTATTTTGATTAGGAGTTTTAGATTCCTTCTAATTATTATCCTATTTGAGGATAAGTCATTTAGATAAGGTTTCCTAGATTTTAGATAGAATCAAAGAGATCAAATACTCTTCTACTTCTACTCATGCGTGAGATAAGATTAGAGAGTCCTAGTTGATATTGTTTTTTTTTTATGCTTGGCCGAAATTCATAGCTTATAAATAAAGGGATATGGCCGAAAGTTAAAGCACCCATGTGTGGTCATGTATGTTGTGTGGTGTACTCGCCTTAAACAAGTGTTAAAATAGAAATAATTGAATAAACATCAATCAATGGGGTCAAAGTATCATAAATAATTAGTAATTAAAGATCTCAAATTAAATAGATAAAAGACAACTTACCATTTATACTAAAAAAAAGTAAAATCTCACATGGATTTTCATTTCGGAATAGAGAGCTCTAAATGATAATTTACCCAAAAAGAAAAAAGAAGAAAGAAACTAAAGTCGTAATCAAAACATTTTGGAAAAATACAGCGAAAGAAAATACTATATAACACCAATTGCCCCTTGTTCTCGTTTATTAACGTCGGGATTGTGGCTTGTGATGGCTCCAATCAATTAATTATGTCTTAGTTACTACTTTATCACATCAAAAAAAAAAAAAAACCTGTTAACACTAAAATACATACCGTCCCATGATCTATTTTCTCATTATCCAAACCATCTTGTTTCTAGTCTATGAGAGAAAATTCGACGATTCCAAAGAAAAAAAATTGAAATGGAAAAACAGTGTTGGTTCATAATAATCTCCTTGTGCCATAATATATCCAGCGTTGGAACACATAAAAAACTGAAAAATTAAAAGATTCAAAACCTGAATATCGGCGGCCGCATGAGTGAGCTTTCGAAATTGCTGTAACTAAAACATCAGCAAAAAAAAAAAAAAGAAAAACATTGAAAAATGAAAACAAATAAAAAATAAAAAATCCGAAAGAAAACTTTAAATCAATCCTAACAGCCAATTGATTTGTTCAACTGATCTATGGAATTCGTCTTCCACGAGATGACAAAATTCGATATATGATGAGTTGGGAGTATAACTTTGCTTTTTTGGAATTTGGCAGTGAGAGGGTGCATGGCTGCACAAATACATTATTTATAGGAACATGTTCGAGTGTTAGGGTTCTAATTTCTCGGATAATCATTTGTGAAAATGATCAGAGAACAATTCTTGCTTTAATTATGCATAGCATATTTTAGGCAAGACATTATTTTAGATAAATCAATTATGCATCTAGTCATGTGTAGTATTGTATTGGGTTTAATTTTGTTGATTGTGTAAATATATATCTTATATAGATTCATAATGATAATGATTCTTGTCTACAACTAATAACATAATACTAATGTAACATATTAATATAGCAATTTACAATGAGGTAAGATTACAATTTAAATTTAACCAAGTTACAATTTTTTTTTTATACTTTAATGAAGGAGAAATATGACGATGACACGTGGCACCATAATCCTAAATTCACTTCCTAAATGACACCTGTCGATTAAAAACTCTCCCTGAATGACATCTGTTGATTAAGAATCTCCTTTAATATAGCATATTTAAGGCAAGACATTATTTTAGATAAATAAATTATGCGTGAGTAATGTGTAATATTGTATTGGGTTTAATTTTGTTGATTGTGTAAATATATACATTATATAGATTCATAATGATAATGATTGTTGTCTACAACTGATAACATAATAGTAATATAATATATTAATATAACAATTTACAATGAGGTAAGATTACAATTTAAATTTAATCAAGTTACGATTTTTTTTTACACTTTAATGAAGGAGAGATGTAACAATGACACGTGGCACTATAATCTTAAATTCACTCCCTGAATGACATCTGTAGATGAAGAACTCCCCTTGAATGACACTTGTTGATTAAGAACTCACCTTTAATATATACTAGTGTTTATCCCGCACGTTGTGCGGGTTATTCAAGATATATATGAGTTTAATAATTTAATGATTATATCATATTAGTGACGTAATAATATATATATATACATAATATTATTATTAACGATATAAATACAATTTTATAATTTTTAATGCCAATTTGTTTTTGTCATTTCAAGTATATCTAAAATTATTTTCAATATTCAAAATCAACCAATGTAGCTGATCGTCCATCTTTTAGTTTTGTTGATTTATGACTTTATATCTTTTAAAAATATTCTCTTAATTTTTTATAATGATCTCTTTGAATATTGTTACCCGTACCAAATCTTTTAAACACTGCCCCTCCCCACAGAAAATTTTCTCATTATTTGTTTTGATAAGCTTATCTTTATTTTCGCTGTCTTTAAAGATTGTTCATATATATTTTTTTATAATATACTATTTACTTTTTTTTTTCTTGGTTGCATAGTCTTCACCTTTTTTTTTTTTTTTTCTAAATTTGATGATCTCCCTTTAATGATTCATTTCTTAAATAATTTGTAATCATTATTTCATATTTTACTATCATCTCAATTGTTTTCGAATTTTCTTATTTTTACTACATAATTTTTTACTCCATATAATTATTTTGAATTTCTCAATATACTTTTCTTCTTTTGTTTATCTCTCACCAAAACTTACCCGTGTTATATCTTTTAAACTCTACCTCTAATAAAAATGTTTATCATGATGTCTTTCATAAAATTATCTTTATTTTCCCTATCCCTATCCCTATATACCATTTGTAACCTTTCTTCGTAAGTTTGTTAGTAGTTTTTTTTTTTCTTTAGAAGTTAGTATTTTGCAACCATTCATTGATTTTTTTAAATTGAAATTTATGATTATACATATGTTGAAATAAATTGGGTCAATTATTACATTAGTTTTTTTATATATAATATTACGACTTTGTAAAATTAAATGTTGTAATTTATTGTAAAATTACATAATTTTTATATTGATCCATAACATTACATTTATTGACATTATAATTTTTATACACATAAATTGGGTCAATTATTACATTATGTTTTCTTGAAATTTTTTTTTCAAAATAAATTATTTTGTAATGTATACATAATTGACACCTCATTGACGTAGTTGATTAGTATTGTTATGGGTTCAATGAATATAATAAAAAAGGTAACTTCTTTTTTCCTTATTTGATACTAATTTCTTATTTTTAATTTCCGTTTGATGTCCTTTCTATGCGGAGACGTAAGCTCATATTATAATATTCTTATATAATTTTTTTTTTTATCTAATGGTAAACTTGTTATTTATTAATTTTACGAATTCATAAATAAAAAATTATCATTAAATAATGGAGTAACGTGGTTGCGACATGTGGATTTAGCTATCTAATTTCTTACCATGTGAATCACCCTATCTAATTTTACGCTATGTGTCCGATTGAAATCTCTCCTTTAATATATTGGACATATAGATTCTGTTTATCTTTCAAGACAACAAAACCAAGGATGACCAACCTATATATAACTAGAACAAAAACGAGATTTACTATTTAGGGGCCATTAGTTTTTAATTTGTTAGTCGACATACTTGTCGCATAGTTAACTCAAATTTGAAATTCATTTCTTCCGGTCTCCAAAAAAGAAAAGAAAAAAGAAAAAAAGAATCAATTTCATTTTTCTTCATTGAATTAAATATTTGACAAAAGCTCTTTAAAAACAGTTTTATTCGAAGTAAAGTGTATATATGACTGCTTAAATATGAAAAAGACCAAGGACCAAGAAAGTAATGATAATGAAGTAATGACAGTTACAAGCCAAAAGAAAATTATAAATAAACTTTTAAAGAAAGTAATGATAAAAAAAAAAGAATTATAGAAACAAAAAGGACGAGTCAAAATATCAAACTATACTTATAAAAATTGAGAGAGAGTTACTAGATAATGAAGTAATGACAGTAAACATATACATATTCAACCTATCTGTACTTGTTTCTTTCACCTAGTAGAAACCCTTGAAAAAATAAATTACACCCTTATAACCGTACATAAATAACTGGCGAACTGCTAGAAGATTTTTCTTCTCTTTTCCCCACTTTTGATCTTTGTAGTCCGAGAGGCAAGACACGAGAAGAAGAAACAACCAACAGCATTTACATCAAGAGCCATTACAATAACTTCAAAAGGGAGAAAAAGAAAATGAATGGGTACACTGCAAAACAAAAATCAGCCTGTTGCATGTGACCGCAACTTGTTGGCAACGTACAAAAGGTGGCTGATATTTGTAGGTGGATAGTTTTGCAGTAGCTTCAAATTAGCAGTGAAATCACCAGCAAGCAAACGCCTCCGGATAATTATGAGCATGGCACAACAAACTCGAAGTAACGTTTCCTACAACGAGGAGAGAGAAGAAATGAGGAATCTTTCAAAAGCTTACACTTGCTTACACTGTCAACTGTCACATTTTCAGTGCCATCCTAAATAGCTACCCTAACATTCCTAATTCTCACCGATTTCTTTCAATTGGAAGGAAAAAGTACTCCCTCTATAGCAAAAATCATGTCCACTTGTTGAACTAAACTAGTACAACAGAGTGCACTATTTTTCTAGGACGGATGGAATAGCATATTACCAGAAATCTTAATGATGTAAAATCCTATTGTTAAAAATATACTACCTTTTGAACTTTGAAAAGTCCCTCTCGGCAATAACAAAAGTTTTATTCCCACAACTAGTTTAAGAAAGGACTAGTACGTTGAGACAGAATATATACATTACAGACAAATAGTATTGAAAAGATTAGCCTTAAATCTAAATGTTTTCCAGAGGTTCGTTTCTGAACAAACACATTAAGTAGAATCTCATAATCAACCACGATGAGGTGAATATGCCACATGTTGTCCAAGAACAAAGATTAGCCCAATACAAACTGCTAGGCGACAAAAGGTGGAAGATATGTTTCTTTCAGGTAAGAAAAATAACCAAAAGACTTCTAATCATGCAATATCTTTGTTACACGGAAGTGCTCTAGACAGACACTAAACTGTATAGAAGAAGACATAATTTTTAGCTCTTAAGAGATTAAATTGGGCCATGTTTTGCTGCTACTTGCAATTTCAGGATTTATTCTCGCAAAGGAAGTTGATCGTGCCAATTATCTTCTCCTACCTCTAACAACAACTCTATTAAAACAGGAAGTGAACACCATAAAAGCAATTGCTAATTGTTTTCAAAGAAAATACTGACAAACAGCTAGAAAAAGAAAGCAGATAGCAAAGAAGAAAGTTAATTAACATACTTGAGGACCTTCAGGATCACTTAATAATGTGTCCCAAATTAGAAGACTGTCTGCAAAATTGAACTCTTGCGTCAAAAGAAGAGTTATCCATCTGAAGGCATAGAACTGGGGATTGACCTGTTTTGCCACAATAAAGGAAATGAAAACGAAGAAATATACAGGAACCAAAAAAACTAAGATCTAGAAACATTTGACATCATATTGCAAACATTATCAATCGGCAAAAGTTCTCTATCTACCCACACACAGTTATCCTTCTAATCAGATAGCTATTCAAAATTTAACAAGGAGATATATCTATGCAGTGATCAATGAAGAATGGATTAGATTGAATGAAGTGATATCATTGACAATTCTTTCAGCTTTGTGCTAATAATGGACGGTCAAAATGACTCAATTAAATTCCGGCGCTTCATAATTTTAGGAAAGTTGTCGGAAATCAATACATAAAATGCACCAATGCATCTTGGGTCATACTTAGTCACCCTCTCTGTACTCAAATACAGGGATATGGCTGTGTACACCTTGACCCTTCAGACCCAAAAGAAGTTGGGAATATACTAGGTATGCTGTTGTTGCAGTGATCAATGAAGAACGGACACATGCCAGAACAAAAAACTTATTTCCATTGCATCCACTCAGTCCAGGGGAAGAATTATCAATACGTCTGCTATGACAAAGACCAAATAGTTCTCGCTAAATACTGATACCATATGCCATTAGGATGGTTACTTGACGAATAACCCTCCCATATGGAGTCAAAAAGGTTTTTTTCTTGAAAAAAACACTCAGTTTTCATCATAGGATCTCTTAAATGTGTAATATTTCATGACTGCTAAATGCAAATAGGAGAAAACTCGATTACGGTCAAATATTCTTACCTTAGTAGTGATCTCAAGATGGCGCCAAAGTTCTTCATCATGTTCTTTCAGAAACAATGACAGCCTTGTAATTGTTGAACGGATTCCCACAACACTATTGTCAAGTTGCTGGCAAAAATGATCTCGAAATCCACTTAACAATTCAACAAAACAGAAAAAAGTGTCTGCTTCGGCACATACCTGGAAATTTGTGAAGCAAATTAGAATAAGATAACCAAAGTACTAAGGCCACAGGATACACATTTTCATCCCCAAAATATAACACGTGCAACTTTCTCTCACATTTGAATTTGAAAAATCTCGTGCTGTTGTATGTTACCTCTGTCTCTCCATATCATTTTTCACATAATACCGTATTTATTTCTAAAATGACTGTTATTGGGAAACTATGTATACACTACAAATAAGAAAAAGAGCACGGACCAACAGATTCAAAATGACAGCACATGATCCAAATTGAGAAGAACACAAAATACATAAGACAATAGAAGCATAATACCACAGTGGACCAACGTTATAATACAGTAAACATACAGTATTCAAACTGCAATTAAAGGAGGAAACAGAATAAGTTTACATGCTCAGGCAAGATCTAGTGCAAATATATTAACAAAAGGCTTTGCTGCACTATCCTTCCCAAAATAGTGATTCTGGTATAAAGAGGGTGTCAATTTACAATTGGGTTATGTGCTTTGTTGAGCTGAAGGTGTTATGCAACATTCCACACTGTTTGCTGTCTAATCAGTTCGAGCAACATTCCACAATGTTTGCTGTTTAATCAGTCCATGCAACATAGCAGTTTATGTTTCTTTTTTTATTTTTTGGTAAAAAGTTTCTTCAATTTTCAAATATGCAGTATATGAGTCATATGCGATCAATCTTTCTCGAACACGTCCAACCTCAGCAATTTATAAACTCGTAAATTCGGTATAACAGACTATCTGTCCACTCACATATTGTCAAATTGCCAAATTAATTCTCATAAAACTCTATGCCATTAGCCCATTATGATAGATTTCTTCAAAAATGCGGTGATGTTCCATCTGTCTATACCATAAAAATTAGAATGAAATTTTAGGAGCAAGCGGCTGAATCATGAAACATGATACAGGAGGCTACTTACAGCACTTTCTTCATTGGGGTCATTCCTGAATACATAAAATAGTGGTGCCAAGATCTCATTCATGCCTTGGACATATCTTATACCAGGATTCAACTTCGCAAATACAATTAATATGTTCCGCAGGGAATCCTAAAAGGAAAGATAAATTTAGATTAGCTCAGAATCAAACCTCACTGCATGATTAACAGACCCAAAAACAGAAAAAAGAATAAATTATAAAATAACAATAAAAATACCTGATTAGATTTTGCAAAAGATGATTCTCCAGAGAAAAAATTCAAATCTGGATGAGTGCGTTTGACATCTCGATCTATCTGTTCAATTACCTCTGTATCCTACAAACCAAAAACATCAAGAGAGAAATGCTAGTATCACAGATCAATTGAGAAACTGTACATAATCCTCAAACAAATATCAGCACTTACTACTGAACAAATGTCCCAAAGTGTATTATGTCTGATATATAGTACACTCATCCCAAACTAACATGATATCTTAGTTTGGAAAAATCATTCTAAGAATACAAAGTAAAAAATGAGTCAACAAAGACAAGGAATGCATCCGAAAAGTCAAAAATATTTTTACAATAGACATCAAAAAGACATGAAATGTGCAGAACATGGTAGAAAGTGATTCACACCAGCCTAGTTTCCTAATAGAGGCAGCACATGCAAATTTCACAATACTCACTTTATATAAAAACACCACATTAAATCCTGAAAAGAGGATCAGAAAAAGTCAAAATTGAAACGAAAACTTGGTACTAACATAATTAGAATGAATATTTAGATCTTCAAAATTCTTTTAGTTCTTACAAATAACATCCAACATCTAGAAAATTGTTCTTCATCTTATTTGACAGAATAAGATTCAAACAGCAAGCAGTTGGAACATGAGCATGGGAGTAATGCAACTCAAAATGATACAGATTGATGAAGTTATGTATGGTACCTTCTAACATCTATTTAAGTAGTCGTTGTAATACAGATTGGAAAAATTGGATGAAAAAGGCAAGAAAAAAGTAACAATTGTTACCTGGAAGAACTGATTCCAGATGCTTGTCTTCCCAAGACTCAGAGGATGCTCTCCATGAGTTATATCTGATCTTGAGAGAAAGCCCTTGCCCTCGCCATCAGATTCATCACCTTCAAGACTTGACTTTTCCAGCTTCCGAGTGATTTCTGACTGACTAGCCACAGAAACATTCAGAAACAGAAATACTTGAAAGATTTCAAGCAGAAAGAGTGCAGTCATCCTTTAGATCACCCAAAAAAAAAAAAAAAAAAAAAACACCCTGTAGTAGTATAAGTTAAAGCCATTTTGCTGAACAATAAGGAAAAAGAATTTCATCACAATCCACCCTCCCACTATCTCAATTTACTTTGTTTTCTTCTCCTCTTTCGTCATATTCCTCTTCAGTTTTCTCGTGTTTGATGATGAAATTGATCAGTTGTTGATGCCATAAAGACCTCAACTTTAGTTTGTTTCCTTTTCTCCTTTTTCTTTCCTGGCTTCTTGTTTTTTTTTTAGCCATATACATATATAACTCACAATTCAACATACATAATCCAAGGAAACATGCTACTCCAAATCAACATAAACAGGCTAAACCACGATATCAGGAAAAGTCAAGCAACACATTAATTACTAGGCACATAAACTGTGAATCCGGATCAGTATTTTGCTATAAACTACTAACATTATGGCATATCTCTTAAGTAACCCGGATTAGCACTTCTTTATATGTTTGTAAGATCTATAATTGTAATATCACCTAAATCGATTTCTATGTACTAGGTTTTCAGAACCAAAATTTGGTCTCTGATTCACCACAAATTTTTTTAAAAACCATATTGGTCTCCAATATGACAGCTATCTCCAGCATTTTTACTTATAAATTAGTATTTGATGGAAATGCGTCAGGAGAGAAACAATAGAATAACAATGTTATCCATAAGACATTAAACAACTCAAAACAGAAAACTAGTCCCCCTTCCCAGTAGTATCACACCAAAAGGCATAAAAAGACAAATGGCACCATCACTTACCTCAAAAGTGTTTTTTTCACCACTTTAAATATCAAAACAAAATATGTGCACTAAACACGATGGGTCGGCAAATTGAGAAACCAAAACTTACAGGATTCATCAAAAGCTCCTCTTTGAATTGCTTGTACTGAGCTCTCTTCTTAGATAATTCAGCAGACCAAAGTGATCGATCACAAGGTAAATATCCCAAGAGAAGCTGCAAAAGAAACAAAATATAAGTTTCAAATTATACAGCCTCCAAACTCCATGCCTTTAATTTGCTTTTTAGATGAAAATAGCTCAAAATATCATTGCAGCACCATGAGCACACAAAATTATTAATTTTAGGACAAATGATAAAGATCTAATCGTGTCATTGATATGACGATGGTGGATTTAAAAGTGAGTCCCAAATCATTATGACCACCAACATTAGGAGACTGAACTGGTCCTACACTAATTCAGTAAAGTTAGAGCGAAAGTGTGCCATTCCATTAAACTTGAACGAACAAAAAGCAATGGACAGATCTGGAAATTGGGATGTCGATGGATCTACTATAAAGTTGAATGCCAAGTTCAGCTCTAAATAATTTTCACAAGATGAAAAGTTTAAAAATTTAATTAGTAGTTTCACAGCAGAATTCATACCTTCCACACAGTGGCTCGAATGCCAGCTCCATCTGGTATACCTTGAGATGCCAGCCTACGTAATTCTCCCAAATTTACCACTTTCCTAGATATCTAAGATATGAAAAACAAGCCCAGGTAAGAAAATGATAAACCAAAACCACGAAAAGAATACTCACTCATCTCATGATTAACACATAAAGTGGACTAAATTGACCCACATAAAAGCATCATTGAGCATTTTGGCCCATTCACTGACAGGCATTAAACTATACCTCGAATTGAGTACTACCATGCTAATTCTTACCCAAACAGAGAGTTAGACAGTACAAAAACTTTACTCCCACAAGGGCAAATTCGCATCGCCATTAATGTAATACACCTAATGATTGCCTTTGACAAGAAACTTTTAGTAAATATAGCTTGAATCTTCAGTAGAGCCCTTGTATCTTACATATTGTACCAAATAGATAAAGGTACTAAGATTGCAAATTTTTAGCTCATCCACAATTGTACCCCTATGAAATTAATGAACATCAAAATGGCAAAAGGTGTCTAGAAAGCCGTTCCACATTCAAGAAGATATTTATGCATACTATTCAAACCTATGAAGTCTCGTGGGATTCCAATAATCATACAACCGAATTAAGCAAACAAGATCAGAATGGGAAAAAGGAAAGGAATTAAAATGCCCAAAATCTATTAAAATATCCTTCTACACATATTCTTAGAGACATGAGTACCCCAAAAGGTCAAAAATCGAAAAGAAGAAACTAAATTTCAGCAAACTTTAGCGGGGAAAGAATTTGAGAAACCTCTTGCAGAAGCTGAGCCTGCCGTGAAATGTCGTCAGCATTGTAATTCGTCCCCCGCGTTGCCGGCGCAGCTGAGCTCACAGCCACCACCGCAGGACTCGGTTCGGCAGCTGCCACCGAGGCGCCATTATATCCATTCCCTTCCTCATCCTCACTACTGTAATAACCACTCAACGGATCCCTGATTTCAACTTTAGCAGGAGGCTCAGCTCTCACAGCCAAGGGAGGCTGAACCGGAACCGGCCCCTTCGACGGTGGATCATAAACAGAAGCATCCGGCTTCAGCATCGAAGGCTTCGCAGAGGTCACCGGAGAGGATTTCGCGGAGCGATCAGCAACCGCGTCGTCCTCGTCGTCATGAGAAAGCTGCGGTCGAGAAGATTGCGTTGAAGGCGGAGAAGAAGCAGGCGGCGGCTGCGGCGACGGAGAAGACCAGAGCGAGCTGTTCAACCAATCCGGAACGCGCTTTTTATTGGTGGTGCTATCACCACCGCTAGTAGCATTAAACATTATTGGAATCTATAACGGGAAGAATGAAAATTCAGTAATTTCAATTGGAAACTATTTCTAAACACGCAAAACAGAGACTTTGGCGATTTCAATGGCGGAAGAGAGAAGCGTCGCCGTCGTAGCCGGCGTCAGAGTCATCGGAGGAGAAGGGGAAAAGGGAACTGAGTTAAGTGGGGGAAAGGTTTATTGCCAGCACTGCCAGGTGGGACGGACTTTAGAAGTTAGAGCTTAACACGTGGTTGTCACGTGGAAAAAGCCCCAAAATAAATAATCCTAAGGTTTTGGAAATAAATAATTTTGGAAATATGTATGTGAAGATAGAAAATAAATGTCTGTTTGTTTGATTTTTTTTATGGTATTTTTATTTTATTTTATTAATAACTGTCACATTGCAAGATATCTTTTTATATTTTTAATAATTTTTTACATTCTCAATACAAAAAATACCTAAAAACACACACTAAAAGAACGAAACAAACATACTTTAATTTGTCTTTGTCAAAAAGAAACTAAATCTAGATTGAATTACAATTTTGAATGGCAAAAAAAAGTAAATAATTTGTGTAAATTTCCTCCTTAAAAAAAAAGTGCATAAAGGAGAACTTTGTTTTATTTACTTTGTGAACCAGAAACCCTAAAGCCTAAACAAAAACCGAGCAAATACAAAGATACAATACTTGTATACTATTTATTCCAAAATTATTATCTATATTAAAATTTTTTATTTTTACACAAATTGTACTAAAAATCAAATTGTAATTTCGACAATTATTTCAATTCAGAGAGAATATCATTTTCCCAGCATATAATTCACTATATTAAAAAAATTTAGAATAATAAACATACAAACATGCTCTAACTAATTCTAAACAGTGAGCTTATCAAATAAATTTTACTTCCACAAGACAAAAAATAAAATTAGGAAAGAAAAGTCCAAATTTTAGTTTACGAATTTAAGTACTAACAACAGTGCTAATCAGGAATTTTATTAGTGGATTAAATCGATAACAAAAAAATAATATCAAAGGCTACTGAGGTATTTGACTTTGATCATCCCATCACGAGCACGAGCTGTATTCTTTGAGTTCTATACTGAATCCAGCAGCGTCCGGTGAAATCCAAGGCTACTGAGGTATTTGACTTTGATCATCCCATCCATTCTAATAGTAATTCATTTTGGTTGGTTGGTTCTTCTAGAGGGCTGCTCTGCTTTCTGGCTCTGGCTGATAATTGTTTGTTTCTTCGTAAAATTCATTTGGCTGAGTAAAAAAAGAGGATAAGATAACCTCTCATGTTAGAAGAGCTGCAACTGCACTACACTAGCAAGTATGTTTGCTTTGTTTTGCTACGAGCACACAAATAATGTTAAGTAAGGGGAGAAATTTTGGTTACAAAACTAGTAAATGCAATATTCCACATAAATAATTTCAAAACTAAGTTAATACTATGTCAAATTCATACTCACACAGTCTTTGTATAGAAAATTATACCATCATTTTGGTATAGAGAAGTAAGTATTATTTTTCTTTTTTGCTATTAGTCATAAGTAATCCAATGTTTTCTAATAAATCTTAACCGTAAAACTCATTCTTAGGACCAAAGTCCATTTATATTTATTAATTTTTAACATAATCTGCAATATGAGAATAACTCTCTAATTTTCCAAAATCGGAGCATTACTCTGGACTTTGGAGCAGAGAAATATTTATTTTGGGGGAAAATGGAATTAATTTTTCTATAAGATTTAGGATAAGAAAGAATCATACAATATACTAAAACAGCAGCGCTTGAGGCAGGTATTTCTGCCTGTTTCTCCCTTCCTAGTGTCACGGGCTTACTTTTTTAAAGTAACGGCCGTGTGGCACTAGCACTTAAACAACCAACGAGAACGTGCTAACTCAGCCTCAAGACCCATAATTCGTGCAAAGTTAGGCAAAGTCTCAAAGAACGTAGGCAAAGAATGTTAAGTATTGAAAGAACGTTGAAAGCACAAGAGAGCTTAAGGAATGCTTGAGAGCTCTTACTCAAAGCTTGGATGGATACAAATGAGGAAGGCTTGAGGTATTTATAGGCTAAGTCCCCAAGTCTATGAGAATTCTAGAGAGTTCTATACAAAGAATAAAATAATAACTATCTAGAGGATTCTAAGGCTAAAATATTCTAAGTGTGGAGTTCCATAGAATTTCATAAGTCCCTAAAAAGCTCTATCTCGTTCCAGACCGACCTAGCAAATCTCGGGAAGCTTCCCCACATTTCCAGTAAAGGCTGGTAGCTTCTAGAGAATTCCAAATCCATGTGGAATTGACCCGAGAAATCCAGCGTCCTCTATAACGTCTCGTTCCTTAGCCTGGTTAAGGAAACACCCCGATCCCACAAACGTGGGAAAGGACGGCTTCTCGGGAAAACGGCCGTGACATCCTCCCCCACCAAAACGGTGCATCGCCCGGATGCACCTAAGTCTCGAAGGCAATGTTGATGGAAACGGGTGCATCCTCCCCCATTAACTTGGTGAATTGCCAAAACTTCTCGACCGGCTCCCAAATCGTCTCACTCATTGGCAAATTCTTCCATTTCACTAAGTATTCTTTAGTCGCTGCCCCGTTCTTGCCCTGAACGATCCTCTTCGAAAGGATCTCCTCTGCGGTCCGTTCCTCGTGCTCGCGTACGCCAGCGGGTGCCCTTGAGGAAACGTTCCGTTCTTCGTCTTTCGGGTCCTTATGGTGTGGCTTAAGTAGGCTCACATGAAAGACCGGATGGAGCCTTGAAAGGGCCTCGGGTAGCTCCAACTTGTAAGCAACGGAACCTACTTTCTTAAGAACGGTGAAAGGACCCTCGTATCTGTGCATGAGATCCTTGTGTAGACCACGGCTCCATCCATGCTCATAAAGCTTCACCAAGACTTGGTCGCCTTCTTCAAACTTGCGACGGGTTCGTTTCTTATCCGCCCATTTCTTCATGCGCGCGGCCGACTTCTCCAAGTAGAGCTTCGCCTCTTCGGCCCGTTCTTGCCAATCTTTGGCAAACTTGTATACGGGTGGGCTATTGCCCTTGTAGCCCCCAAGAATGTCCTTAGATGTAGTCGGTTGGAAACCAAAGACAATCTCAAACGGACTCTTGCCCGTGCACTCGCTCCGCATCAAGTTATAGGGAAATTGGGCAACGTCTAGCAAACATATCCAATCTTTTTTGTTGGCTGCCACATAGTGCCTAAGGCACACCTCCAAGAGACCGTTGATGCGCTCCGTCTGCCCATCCGTTTGCGGGTGCAAAGATGTAGACATCTTGAGCTCCGTCCTAAGCAAACGAAAGAGTTCTTGCCAAAAAAGGCCAGTGAACCTCGAGTCCCTATCTCTTATGATCGATGTAGGCAGCCCCCAATACTTCACCACATGCCTAAGAAAGAGTTTGGCCGTTATCTCCGCGGTGCACTCCTTCGGGGCGGGTATAAAGACCGCATACTTAGACAAACGGTATACCACAACTAGTATGTTGTTGCAACCCTTGGAAACGGGCAAGCTCACGATAAAATCCATCGAAATGTTGTCCCACGGGCATTCTGAAATAGGCAAGGGTGATAACATGCCATGTGGGTAGTCTCGCTCGGTCTTGTCTTGTTGGCAAACTAGACAAGTCCTCACATATGTCTCCACATCTTCCCGCATGCGAGGCCAACAGAACCGTTCATGAACTAAAGTAAGTGTACGATGCGTACCTGGGTGACCCGCATAACGGTTATCATGGCAATCCCTTAGAATCTCCCTTCTAAGTCCATCCCATGCGGGCACGTACAACCGGTTCCCCTTGGCATAAAGTATCCCATCTTCAAGCCAAAACCGCGTTGTCTTGCCTTCCTTCACAAGCTCCATGAACCTTTGGGCTTGATGGTCGTGCTCAAGGCCCTTCTTGATGCCATCAACCAACGTCCGTCCCCTCGGGTATGCTAACGATCGGTGCAAGACACGCCTTTCGGCTAGGGCGTCGGCCACATGGTTAGTCTTCCCAGGGCTATACTCAAGCTCGTACTTAAACTCGACCAAGAAGTCCAACCAACGTGCTTGCTTGCTTGAAAGTTTAGGTTGGCTTTGATGGTAGCTCACTACCTGATTGTCCGTCTTGATCTTGAACGGTGTGGCGGCCTTCAAATAATGTTCCCAAACTCTAACGCAATGAACTATAGCCAACATCTCCTTCTCGTGCGTCGGCCACCTTTTCTTGGTCTCATTCAACTTGCAACTTTCATAGGTGATCGGGTGACCGTCTTGCATAAGAACGCCCCCAATGGCGAATTCCGAAGCGTCCTTGCACACCTCGAACGGTTTCTCAAAATCGGGGAGAGCTAAGACCGGCTCTTGAGTGACGGTGTCCTTCAAAGCTTCAAATGTCGTTTGATGCTTAGGTGTCCAGCACCATGTTTGCCCCTTCTTCAAGAGATTCGTTAACGGGGCGGCTATGGTGGAGTGCCCCTCAATGAACCGCCTATAGTAATTAACAAGCTCCAAGAACGATCTTAGCTCCGTCGGCTTCGTGGGTGCCTCCCATTCCATGATAGCCTTGATCTTAGCCAGATCCATGCGGATTTTGCCCCCACAGATGATGTGCCCCAAGAACGACACCTCCTCAAGGCCGAAGGAGCATTTCTCCCGTTTAACATAGAGCTGGTTTTCCCTAAAGACTTGGAAAACGGCCCTAAGATGCTCGACATGCTCCTTCACAGTGTTGCTATAGATAACGATGTCGTCCAATATACTACAACAAACTTATCAATGAAATCAGCTAGCACACGTTGCATCAAAGTGCAAAACGTGGCTGGGGCGTTAGTTAAACCGAACGGCATAACAAGAAACTTATAAGAGCCATACCTCGTCACCATGGCCGTTTTCGGTTCATCACTGGGTGCTATACACACTTGATAGTATTCCTTCCGCAAGTCCAGCTAAGAAAAGATCCGCGCTCATTGCAACCGATCAAACAAGTCCGCTATAAGTGGGATAAGGTAATTGTTCTTCACGGTCAGCTTGTTTGACGCCCGATAGTCGATGCATAATCAAAGTGTCCCATCCTTCTTGCGTTGAAACAAAACTGGTGCGCTCCAGGGACTCTTGGACGGCCGTGCATGACCCGATTCAAGCAGCTCCTTAATTTATACCTTTAGGTCCTCTAGTTCGCTGGGGGACATACGATAAGGCACCTTGGCTATCAGTTTCGTCTCGTCCACCAACTTGATAGCATGATCAATCTCCCTCCTTGGTGGAAGACCCTTGGGCAACTCGTCGGGCATAACGTCCTTGAACTCAACAAGGACTCGTTCTATGGGAGGTGGGATTTGTTCTTCCTTTGCCGGCTCCTCTATGCATGGTTCCTCCTCAAACACCATGGCAGCAAAGGTGTGTTCACCCCGTTTTAACCCCTTGTTTAGCTGGGAAGGGCTAATCTCATTTTTCCGCCTAAACTTCACCACACCAGGCTTCTCGCCTTGGAGGATCACCATCGTGTCATTGCTAGGCACGATGATCGGCTTCACCTGGTCTAAAAACTCCATGCCAAACACAAGACCGTAATCATCCATAGGTGCAATGGAGAAATTAGCCGTACCTGACCAGTTGCCGATTTTAAGAGGCACGTCCCTGGCTTCGCCCACAAGACCCGTCCATTCACCGTCCACGCCCTTAAAACGGCCTTTGCTAGGCGTCCACTTGACTCCAAGCGAACGGGATACCTCCTCCGTGAGATAACTCGTGTCGGCCCCCGTGTCTAGCATGCCCCATCTAGACCCATTTGTGAATGACGCCTCCATATAAAGACGACCTTGACGTGTCTCAGCCTTAGCATGCACGGCGTCTAGTCGTTTCAAGCAAGTGACCCATTTCTCCTCTTCTAGGCACAACCCTTGTGCCAATGCTGCCAACTTTGAACGGGACGGGCAATCGTGTGCCATGTGCGCTCCCCCACACAAGAAGCACCCTTGATCTTCTTTGGCTTGTCCCCCTTGATCTCCTTGCTCGAAGACGGCTTTGTAGAGTCGGCTGCCGGTTTAGCGGGTGTGGAAGACTTCCCTTTGTCTCCCCCACCTTTGCCTTGGAACGGCTTCTTGCCCTTGTCCTTGGAGCTATCCTTTTTGGAACTCGACAAGCAACTCGGCCACCTTTAATGCCCGATCGATGTCTTGGACTTCCCTCCGTTATAGCTCAAGTTTGGCCCAACGGTTGAGACCATTCATAAAAGTAAAGAACGTCTCCTTGGGCGAGAGATCTGGTTTTGATTTGTCATGCTGTCGTGTCATGCCGTCGTTTATTTGTTTCCCGCCTAAACGTCCCCAGTCTGATTTGTCATTTTGTGGTTTTTTTTTCTTTTTCGGTAATGAACCCTCCTAAATTATTATTTGTTTTCTTCTTTTGTCATTCTTTAACAACGTGGGTACTGGTTTTGATACACCGTCCCAAAGGACCTATTTCTCGCACCGGGATCACTTATTTTATATATTCCACTACTCGCCATGAATGTTGTTTCTGTTATACTTTTAAATAGCAGATATTCTATAGTTGTGTTAATAAAAAGTGGTACAAATTATTATGGTACAGCATGATATATGAATCATGAAACAAAAAATGAAATTGTAATTAAAATTTGAAACCATTGTTTAATCATAAGTATAATCTATATATAATATTTGATATACATGAACTTGAAACACACATTTTTGAAGGTATTAAATCTTATTAAACGATGTAGAAAAATGGGGGCTAAATTCAGTATGTAGAACATTGACATGTGGTGTGGCTGATTTTGATTTGTAAGTTTGAATTTGAATGATTAGTGTACATGATAAAATAAAATAAGCAATATGAACCGCTGTGTATATGCTTAATCCACAATATAAAGCAGAAAAATATTAAAGCGGTTTGCATGGCATACCGAAATATGTACCACCATTCAACTGCCTTTGGTTCAACCAATGATTGCTGTATCCATATGCATGCACCAGAAAGTGGTTTTGCCTAACCAATCATCATTTTGTCTATGGCTGGCCTAACCTATGCAGTCATCATTGGATCTATTGAAGCTAAGAAAATTTAAAATACTGTTTTCCCAACAATTTGTGAGGCCTAACAGATGATGCTTTATGCAACCATCTATAAAAGGACTCTCGAATTCAAGGATGTAAACATTGTGTCCAGTTACTGTATTCTTCAAACCAGTAAGCATTTTGTGTGACAATGGATGAAGAATACAATACCCTCGATCTAATAACTCCTCTGCAGGATAGTTGGAAGATAAGAGTTAGATTAATTCGTGTTTGGAAGCAGCCTCTGTTCTCGAATCCATTGGAGTGGGAGCATAGAGATGGTGTTAATGGACCATTTGGTATGTCTCATAAATGAATAATTATATATAACTTGCACAAATTATTGTTGTTTATAGTTTGCTAATTTTTTTTTAGGGAAATAAGATTCATGCAACCGGGAAGAGGTCATTGATTGATAACTTTGTGGGGGTGATCAATGAAGGATCTTTTAAAATTATAACGCAATCTGGAGTGGCATCAAATTGCGGTAATTTTAGAACAACTAGACATCCATACAAAACCAACTTTTCCAGGAACACACAAGTACACCATTGTACCGATCTCAGAATTAGCCCTTACGGATTTGAATACGCGTCTTTCTCCAATCTATTGGCTGGGAAACTTGACGAATCATGTACAATAGGTGAATTAATGTGATTAATCATCGAAAGTGTTTGGTGTTTTCTGTTATTATGTGTTTATTATATATGCTTTTGTAACATTTACATCGATGTACGACAGATAGTATTGGGGAAATTGTTGCTATCGGAGATTTGATTCACGGCGACAGGAATGGAAAGCCATCACGTCGGGTGACATTAGAAATGCAGGATTGCGATGTGTGAAATTTCTCTTGAAAACTTACTTATTCTTTTTAAATTTTTAATTATTTACTTACACGTTGATTCCCTTTGTTTATGTACTTGTTCTATTTTCTCGGTTGTTGTTGATGCATAGGGATGTTAAGCTGACCGTCACATTATGGGATGAGTACGCACAAATCGTAACGGATCACTTTACAAGACGACCTGGTGGTTGTGTTGTCATGATCGTTCAATTTGCTAGGATACGTTCATGGAGAGGTATGTTGCTATCTCTGGTTATGTTGTATTGCAAAAAATAAAGTTTATGATATCAATGAACATATGCATTAATGATTTTTTGTTGTGGATTATGCAACAGGAACAAATACGGTGACAAATTCTGTATTCTCTACCTGACTTTTCATTGTTTCAGAAATTGATGAAATTGTAGAGTATAAGTCGAGGTATTCATTGGTGTAACATTATTTCATGGAACCACAAAATTGATTGAATATGTCAGGATGGTGAATGCTTATGGGACCGATGATCCGAGTCGTGGGGTATCTTACCTTTGTACACCATCATCCATTTCTGAACCGGATGATTTTCTTACATTGAACCTGAAGAAACGAATTGATGAACTAGAGGATCTTAACAAGGTGAAAGTTGATAATATTATTTATTACTTCGTATTCTGTATATTAATTCGTACTAACACAATTTCGTAATGTTTCAGAGTTGTGTGGCTGTTGTGGTTGCTTCAATTGTTTCTGTTGAATCCGAGTATGGTTGGTTTTATATTGCATGTAAGAAAGGCAATAAGAAAGTTAACCCAACTGTGGAGGCGTTGAGTTAGATGGTGGTGGTGTTCCTCTTCAGTCATACTACTATTGCAACAAGTGTGATAATAACGTTTCAGCTGTGGTGCCGAGGTGGTTATTGAAATTAGTTAACTGTGTACTCTTAATAAAAGATATGTTGTTTTTCTTATATATATTTTGCAGATTCCGGGTTCAGCTAAGGGTACTTAATGATAGTGGAAGTACATCCTTCCTGTTATTTGATAATGACGTTTACAAATGTATCCGAAAGACTGTGATGCATGTGAGGGAAAACATGTTGAAGGTATATTCGTAATCTAATGTGTTTTTTGGTTTGTATTTATAAACGTCGTTGAAATGGTATCTTTATGAAAATTGTTTCCTGCATAATCACCTTTGATACCATGTTCATAAACCTATGTTGATGCATAAACATATTGAAAGTGATACATCGAAGGTTGAAGGTGATAGGCCTAAGGTGCCAAAGGAGTTGGAGAGATTGGTTGGTCAAAAGTTCATATTCAAAATTGAGGTCTCTGAATACAATATTGACAATAATTGGCCGGTTTACACAGTTTTGCGGATGAGTAGTAAAATGTCAATAATCAATGCTTTTGAGAGTAGCTCGTCAATAAATCAGGTTCGTGGTTTGACTGTTTTACGCATAAATCATGATTTGGATTTTAAAGCATATTAGGTACATGGTAGAATTTGTTTCAAATGAGCAGGAAATTCTTCAAAATCCGAATATTTTGGTGGCCAGGATGTTGGCGCTGATGTTGATATTTCTACTACAGAGAACACAAATATAACACCCAAAAGTTTAGCTGGGAAGGTAATAGCGAGACTAAATTGCAATGGCAGTACTATATGTAGACGATCATATATGTATCCACATGCACAAATGTGGTTTTTCTATGACTAATGATCACGCATCAATTTATAATTTATGTTTTATCCAGGATTCAATAAATTCGTGCACTGGAGAAGTTGATGCACGCACCGTCCAATTGTTGTCCACTGCAACTAGCCCTTTGAAAAGGACACTACAATTTGATGAGGAAGATGCAATTGTTCAGTCATCTTCGACTAAAGCAAAGATTGAAGTGAAGCTTGAAAAATCTTAGATTACCATAGTCTGTAATTCGTACGAAATTAACTTCGTGGGGGTGACCTATCAGTGACGTAGTACGTCCATGTATTTTGGAAAACTGATTACACCATCAGTTGGTGTTTTTTTTTTTTTTTTATGTAGTTTATCTAATTTTCGTTTAGTCATTCTATCATCAGTTGGTGTGTTTGTGGAAGTGTAGCGATACTCGTCTTTTGAATACGACTTTTGTTTTCATTAGTGACAAGTTGTTAAAAGTACAGTAGTTTATCAAACTTTTTAACCCTTTGATTTAAATGCGAAACATATCTGGCTGCCTGTATAAGCTAAGTTATCTTGATATGTAATTAAATACACGATTAAAAAATAATCATAATATATACTTCATGCTTTTATACCGTTTCCATATTCATGTTTCCAATATTGTAAGTGAGTAACATACGAACAACGAGTAAAATCCTGAATTAAAATAAGTAATTTTATCCATTTTCAGTTCTATTTGTGGCTAATATATTAAATGTGATGAATATACGGAAGGTCAGAGAAAATATTTGGCAGATATGGTAAAATATTTTTTCCTATTCTAAAACTAATGTATAGAGACAGTTTTTTGAGTTTCCTACTTTAATTACGAGACGCAAATGAATTTGACATATAGTCTTCCTCCTTTAATTTTGTGACTCTTTGAATTTAACGTATACTTGTGCCTATAGATATTGTTATTTCAGTCTCTTTGAAGTCACGAGTTGAAGTGGTTTTGTGTATTGGTTTCTTTTCAACGCAAATAATGGATAAAATGTTTGATGAGATGCTTAGACGTCTTCAAGAGTTGGAACAACAATTGGTCGCACAGGATGAACGAGTGAAGGCCATCAAAGAAAATTGCTCCAAAATTATTATGGCGCGTTATGCTGATCACACCCGTGTCGACAACATGGACGCACGAGTTGAATGTATTGAGAATTTTCTGGGCTCATTCAACGGGTGACAGTGGCACAAGATTAGTTCAGATTAGCGTTTGGTTGTTTTCTTTCTTTTCCACGAGTTTGTGCCCGGCTTTGGGACTTGATTTGATAAATCTTTTCCATTTGTTGAATTGTACACATGTTTCTGCTGGTTACTTTCAAAACCAAGTGACTTGTGGTTTAAACAAATTCACACACTGTTTAAAACTTTCTGTTCCAAATTGAGATTATTGCATATTACAGAAAATTCATTTCTGACATCATCTCAAAAATAAATATAGACACGGTTACCTTCATTCGTTGTCAGGAAACTGTACTTACTACGGAGAAAAGAGAAAAAATAGAAAATTCTGCCCATTGTGCAATAATAAAGAGTGTGTGAATTTGCATGCTATCATGAATCAATCCCCAAAATCAGAACTAAATCGAAAACCAAATCCCTCGGATTGCTCAATCGATATATTGTTTGTAATAACAAATATTATTCAGACTTTAAAAAAATACTCAATTTGCAATAAATAATTATAAAAACAAGGTCAACCCCGTGGTAATGCTTGCATAGGGAAAACTGGAAACAAACTTTGTAAATATCACGTGAGTGATGATGTTTCACTGCCACCCCCTTTCTTCCACTCCTTGGTTGTTAATTAATCGATCATTTCTCCTACTATGTGTAGTAGGCTAAAGGACGTACCCCTATTGCCTTAGCTTTGAAACGGAAAAGTCTTACTTGAATCACTACGCTAATCTATACAAAAAAAATGATATACCAAGTGTCTATTCATGAATATCGATTCAATGTATGAATTACAAAACCCATCAGCAAATTAATGATTATAAGTATTTATTTAATTGGTAACTAATCTCCTGGAACAGAGAAACATTCAGAATTAATTCCATACAAACTATCACCATTTTCCAATGTCGTAATTTTTCTTAATAAGTGGTGTATATATACTTTGGACAATTACAAATCTGCAAAATCGAAAAAAGAAAAAATTCAAACTGAGTATCAACTTGGAAAATGGAATTTAGAAGGTATTATGCGTTAAACAGTGTTGGGAAATAGAGGAACAGACAGTATAGGATAATGGGGACTAAATTGAGTAGTTACTGCATCTTGCATGACACCTCCATGTGGATGAAAAAACAAAACTTAATCATGACGAAATGACGTAGGATACCCAATTAATGTTAAACTGAATAACTCCAGTTTATTTTCTTAAAAAATATATGAAACAATGGTTAAATGGTTGAATATATGACTGAGTTCATCCTTCATTTAAGATGCATATATGAATGCCCATTATTTAGCCTCAGCTTTAAGCAGGAGTCCAGGACTTGGACTCCCGCTTTATAGAAGAAAGACATGATCTCGCGTTAGCAATGCGCGAACCAAAAAAAAAAAAAAACGCACACTTGACCGCACTTCATCAGTTTTATTTTCGAACTACATTTGATTTCATGCAACATTTTAATTGTTGTCCTACTATTCGTAAAAGAAGAAAAAATAATAAACTTTTAAATCAAAAAACATATATACTTCTTAATTAAAAGCAATTTTTTTTAATCTATATAACACACACGATCACGAAAATTTAGAGAAATTTTTTTTTTAACCTTCAAAACTCCTTATAGACAATGATAGTTTAGATATTCATGCGTTCGTTTTATTTTACGAACTAAAAATTAGAAGGGAACATGTAAATGTAGAAAAGAACAGAAAAAATGTAAATGTTAAGAATAATAATCGAGTTGAATTAATTAATTATTTTAAGAGACTTAAAGTTATTGTAAATTCTTCTATTGCCTATAATATAATTTAAACTACTCCGATAAGAATTGGTTCAGCGTGAAGTTTTTTTGTAAAACTTAAAAACCAAAATTTATATATGACGTCATTTAAGTGATGAGACACCCTGCAAAGGAATTTTTAACGATGTATACCCCAATATATAATTTGAAACTTTACAACACCCCTAAAATGAAATTTTTGAAATAATCTAAACAAATTGGAAAATTGTACAGATTGTCAAAAACTAATAATTATAAAAATAAATAATAAATAATAGCTGCAGAGTCATGATGATAAGTAATTTTACGGTATTTTCCAATCCGATTGACCAGACGTTTCAATAATTAACGTAAAATAGGGTTTTACAATTCCGTTAATTTAATAAGGTACCCACTCTGTAATTAATTCCATTAATCACTCCATATTCTGTAGTCTATGGAAATGAATCGTACATATAATATACATATACATTGCACACTGTTGGAAGTCCAACCGGAATAATTCAAACAAAACATAATCATGACGAAATGATGTAGGATACCCAGTTAATGTTAAACTGAATAACTCCAGTTTATTTTCTTAAAAAATATATGAAACAATGATTGAATATATGACTGAATTCGTCCTTCATTTAGGACTTGTATATGAATGCTCATTATTTAGCCACAGCTTTAAGCAGGAGTCCAGGACATAGACTCCCGCTTTATAGAAGAAAGACATGATCTCGCGTTTGCAATGCGCGAACCAAAAAAAAAAATGCCCGCTTGACCATACTTCATCAGTTTTATTTTCGAACTACATTTGATTTCATGCAACATTTTAATTGTTGTCCTACTATTCGTAATACAAGAAAAAATAATAAACTTTTAAATCAAAAAACATATATACTTCTTAATTAAAAGCAATTTTTTTTAATCTACATAACACACACGATCAAGAAAATTTAGAGAAATTTTTTTTTAACCTTCAAAACTCCTTATAGATAATGATAGTTTAGATATTCATGCGTTCATTTTATTTTACGAACTAAGAATTAGAAGGGAAAATGTAAATGTAGAAAAGAACAGAAAAAATGTAAATGTTAAGAATAATAATCGAGTTGAATTAATTAATTATTTTAAGAGACTTAAAGTTACAGTAAATTCTTCTATTGCCTGTAAGATAATTTAAACTACTCCGATAAGAATTGGTTCAACAGGAAGTTTTTTTGTAAAACTTAAATTAACCAAAATTTATATATGACATCATTTAAGTGATGAGACACCCTGCAGAGGAATTTTTGACGATGTATACCCCCAATTTATAACTTGAAACTTTACAACACCCCTAAAATGAAATTTTTTAAATAATCTAAACAAATTGAAAAATCATACAGATTATCAGAAACTAATAATTATAAAAGTAAATAATAAATAATAGTTGCAGAGTCATGATGATAAGTAGTTTACGGTATTTTCCAATCCGATTGACCAGACGTTTCAATAATTAACGTAAAATAGGGGTTTACAATTCCGTTAATTTAATAAGGTACCACTCTGTAATTAATTCCATTAATTACTCCATATTCTGTAGTCTATGGAAATGAATCATAAATATAATATACATATACATTGCACACTGTTGGAAGTCCAACCAGAATAATTCAAACAACAAAACTATGCCATGCAAAAAATAATAAAAATAATTCAAACGTTGAATCAAACAAAAAAATTTTCGAATGTCACGCAAACACTCCACGACATTGAATAAATTGCATTATATAAACACTATTCTGTCATTGAAACTCATTTGTATAAAACATCTTTAAAGTCGTGAAACGCAATATATATTATAGTTGTCTCAATGAGTACATATAAAGGTCATCACATTTCATTTACAAAATAAAATGAAACTTCACCAACGGAAGCACAGATGGATGGAAATATTTGTGCAATCATCAACTCGATGCAGACACGAATGCAGGCTCTCGAAGATGGTATCATGAGATCAAACCAAACTGTTGTTGACTCCATCAATAGCATAGAATACGATCTCAAACACATGAAGAAACAATTGAATGATTTGAAAAGAGCAGTTGATGCCCTAGAGGAGAACGTTGATAAGCAGTCTGGAGGAGGATACAGGATGGAGTGGCCCAACATTAGAGAAGATAGTGATTGAATCAACGTAGAAGCACAATTCCAGGGCTTTATTAATTTCATGATCAATTATTGTATTGTTTTTGTTTTTGTTTTTTTATATTTCCTGATGTCAACTAATATTTTCCTTTATAAATAAAGGAGTATTTTTTTATTAAGGTAATTAGTCTTCGAATAACTATATTTTCAGTATTTACAGTTTGTTTAGTTTTATCAATAATTTATGTAAATGACATTACTATTTCAGCAAGTTCTTTTTATATATTTTGTGGATTGAAGTGACATAATATATCCAAAATAACAAAAGTCTGCAATAACATATTGTAGTTAATTATATATGTAATGAACATAAGATGAAGAAACTTTTACAATTACATCTCAAAGAAGATTTGTTGTACTTTATATGAATCCGTCACGTTAATTACAATTGTTTGGGATTTTGGTCCTCACGTATAATTAAGAATATCGTAACTATGGAAGATTATATTAGTCGGAAACTAAAAGTATGGTGTTAACCGGACTTGATTGATTTAATGGTTAAATGGTGTATTAGCTTTCATATATTAAATTGTTATAATTAAATTCAAAAATGATAATTTAAGGAATTTTTTTTGTAATGCTTAAAAAATGAGTATAAACCAATCAAAAAGGAGAAAAGAAAAATAATTGTATGTAAACTGGTTAAATAGTTTGGGTTAACAATGATTTTTTAAATTATTTCATAGTTACCGATATGTCAATCAATATTCTTTTGTTGTACTTTATACGAATTTGTAACGTTAAATTCAGTTGTTGGGAATTTTGGGCCTCACGTATAATTAAGAATATGGTAACTATGGAATATTATATTAGTCGGAAAGTAAAAGTAGGATGTTAATTGGGTCTTAATTGATTTTCTGGTTAGATGATTTGGGTTAACAATGATTTTTGAATTATTTCATAGTTACCCATTAGTCAACTAATTTATATTTTTTGTACTTTATATGGATCCGTAACGTTAATTTCAGTTGTTGGGGATTTTGGGCCTCACGTATAATTAAGAATATTGTAACTAGGAAAGATTATATTAGTCGGAAGCTAAAATTATTGTGTTAACCAGTTCTTAATTGATTTTACGGTTAAATGGTTTGGGTTAACAATGATTTTTTGAATTAGTGGATAGTTACCGATTAATCAAGTAATAATTTGTTATTGATATTTTTGTTTAACTCGATAAAGTTTTAATGTAGTACAACATTAAATTATATATTCTAATCGGACCAAACACAAAATTAGACCCGAGTTATGTGACAAATACTAATACCACTCAGAGCTTTACCGTCTTGAACGTTAGTCAATGGCATAATTGGCTCCATGGAGTTCAAAAATGACCAAAAAATATATGCATAACATCAAAATACCCTTTCCAATAAGTTTAAAAATTCTTCCCGACAAGTTCTATATTGGTTTTAATAGTAGTCGACAAATTAAAAACATGAATAGTGATGAAAGCTTACTCTTCTTCGACAAATTATATCCTTCGCTTGATTACTACAACTCCCATGTAAGTTAAGTTTTACCGGCCTCTTCTTACTTAACTCATTTCTTGACATATTAATGTCATTTGAAACCAAATCAAAATGTCATCATGTTGCATCAAATGGATGACCATTATCTTTTGTTCATAGCTCTGATGCGTATAAAAATGTACATGCACATTGGGAACGTATATATGTATGCCTTCATGATTATCGTGCAACACATCATCTCTCTTTTTTTATTTGGCGACTGCGCAATGAATTACCTGTCGGGAAACAGATATTCTTTCAATGGAAGTGATTAGTTGTTGTGTAAGAATGTTGTAGTGGGCTGATTTTGTTAGCCATTTACAATTAGATAAGTGATTATTGTTGTCAATATTGCCTTTTTTTTGCATAAATTAATATAACATTACAAACTATGTAGTAAAAGATAACCTGCTTCATTATGCACACTACGATTACGGTAACCATCAAATTGTCAAATAGGCATTTATCACGAAAACTATATGGTATGAATTTTTCACGTTCTGCATAATTTTATCTTCATTGAACATGGCTTCAGTTGTCATGTAGTTAAACTTTGGAACATATTTTGCATATTATGTATTATTAAATTATATAATTTGGATCATGTTTTGTTTGCATCTAGGTTAAAAGACCCTTGGTTCCAATACTTTAGAATCATCATTCTGCGTGCTTTTTCATTTACATGTCTCATACTAGGTTTTATATTGTATTTTATTCCTCTTTTTATGCATATAGTAGGCGACCATGATTACCTACCAGCTATGTATCTGTTACTCAGTTATCTACCATGCCTCAAACATCTATGGGCAACATACCCAAGGGCGGGACAATTAAATAATCTTTAGTTGCCGCCAGAAATTTTACATGCAGATACTTCCAATTTTGTAATGTGACATCAATGATCTCCACTCAGTTTGGACATGTAAGACTTGCATAATATGATTCTCGATATGCTATGTATACCACCCCATTATTTGTGTCCTTTACCATATCTCAGTCTGAAATCCAAATTATTTTTATAAGTTTTTAAGTTGTAACTATCCAACATCTTCTTTATTCTCTAGCCAAACTACATCTACCATCTAATTCATTGATGCATTCATCTTGATTTTCCAATCATTGTAGTTTTTCCCATGGCAAACCCGACTGTTCAGCATGAGTCTGTTGATTTTTTGACTAGCCTCCCAACTGACCTCATGGAAAACATTATGATGAGGGTGGATCTTCCAACTGTCGGAAGAGCACGTTGCGTTAAGAGGTCTTGGAGAGCTTTATGGTCAGACATTGATTTTAGTGTTCGTTCCTATAAGGTGTCTGTTTCAAATGGTCCTGCGTCCTTGCTATTTATAAGCCAACAAAACTTATACTCCTCTCATTTTCCCCAGAAATTGAAATTTGTAGGTGTCAACGCAGATGATAACACTTGTGATGAGTGTTGTAAGTCCAATCTTCTTTCTCTACACCCTTGGTTTGTGCAGGAGATTCTTCTAATTACCTGCCATTTGGTGTGCATGAGGTTGCAATCGAAACTCCTCATTTTGAATCCTCAGACCGGACAACAACGTATGATTCCTGCACCATTTCGTCCTGCATTTGTGGAGCATTATTGGAATGCCACTTTCGATTATATCGATTCTATTGGCATATAATGCATTGTTGCTTTAAGGCAGTTGCCAAATGGAAGAATGTATGCTAAGTATTTGTCTTGGATGACGCATGAATCCCTCATGGGGTCGTTTATGGGTCTTGGCAAGTCATCTATTCATTATGTCCTCGTGTTGTTCTGCCTGAAGGCCTTGTTGTTGGTGCATCAACAAGCTCATCCATTGGCCAATTAATCAAATCAACAGAAGGGAACTTCTTATATCTTTCAGTTATGTAACCAAAACATTTAACATTATGCAGTGTCCAGATGATGAACATTGGAAGACCTATCCTTATGGTTTCTATAATAGTACCAAGCTTTTGAATTTGAAGGGCAAACTGTGCGTAGTTGATGAAGAATTTATAAGTTTGACCGGCCTGTTTCAAGTGTGGGAATGGACAAATATGGTGACGAAAACTTGGTGTATCATTGGCGTAAGTTACATACTGTGATGCTAGATTTTACTGCTCCGACGTTACCTGGATTGATGCTTGGTCCATTTTTACGTCATTGGAAGCGTCCTGTATTTGTTTGTGCAAAGTCATTAGACGAGGGAGACTTTGTTGTGTCTGGCCCTGATCGGTATCAGTTTTACATTTATAATCCTCTCAAAACCAGATTTACTTTGCACGTGAAGCCAGAAATCATACAAGCATTGGACGAGGTAGCCACTGGTTTCTTCTGGCGTAGTTTAGTGGGTATTTAAGTTATGGGTGCCATGTTAGGCTAATATTTTGTCATGCTTTTGCTATTATTAGATGTCTATCATGGGCACAACGGTGATGTATTAGCCAATATTTTGTCATGCTTGTGCCGCCCTGTTTTACTTTCGTTTTATGTTGTTTATATCTTTCTAATGTATCATTTTGATATCATTTTTATTTTCCAATTACATGATTTCTGAATACATTTGATGTAAAAACCTAACTCCAAAATAATTAGTCGAGTGAGCAATCATATAAGCATAAATAGAAAGCATAAGTTGAATGATACTTTCGTACTAAAAAATTAAGAGTTGTAAGGTTTAATTTAGACAACAATCATATTTACAACTTGATGAATAGAAGAATCTTGATTCAATTTACGAAACATTATTTGTAATAAAATTTCCTCTGGAGGACTGAATTTCAAAATTGCAATAATTCACCTCGGTGGTTTCAAAATAAGTCCTAGCTTCGCGTTGTTTACATTGATATATGGAAATTTTTGAATTATGTATATAATTTGTGTTACACTCTATACCTATCAATGATATATAGAGGCCTTTACATTCTTAGATTTCAGACATATATGCAATTAGTTACCCATTGTTTCATGTTTCTATGGTGAACCAAATAAATTGCTGGGAAATTCTTGACCATTTTATTTCGAATGTTTTTATATAACATATGTACATTATACATAAAATTAGTGTTACATTGGCAACTTTAATATATATGTTTAATATGGTTATTTGTGTCCTGCTTTCGAAAAAGGCATGTATATTGATTTTTTTGAAAATTATTTGTAAATTCACAATACGAATAACAAAGGTTCTATAATTTAGGTGTGTTTTTTTATTCACTTCAACTTTGAATCGTTCTGCTACAGAAATAGAAACAAATCTAGTTTTGAATTTGACAAAATGATTTGCAAATATGTTTAACCAATAAGGCAAATGTTTCATTATTTAGGTGTGTTTCGTAATTCACGATGCCACTTTAAATCGGCATCCTACGTCATGTCGTAATGATTTATATTGTGTTTTTATATGCAAATCGAGGTCTCATGCAAAATGCACTACGTACTCAAATTAGGCCCAATTTTTGTACACTGTCTGTTTTCCCATTTTCCAACACTCTTTAACACATAGTACCTTCTACTTTGTGTATTTTAAGTTGATACTCACTTTGTCATGTTATTTACATAATTTTCAGCTTGACAAGAGCTGTTATAATCAGACTAGTATTTTGATAGAAGCTTTTTGTTTACTTTTCAACGCCCTTATTCATATAAGACATAATTCTCAGTCCGGCTTCAATAGGGATTAAAAATATAAATTTAATGTCAAATAAATTTAAATATTCTTCACTTTTGTCTAATAAGATTATAACTAAAACATTCCATTTCATCTGAATAATAATACTTCATCAGAAAAAAAAGTAAATAACTTAAGGGACTTTTTCTTTTGGTAATCCAGTATACATAAAATCAAACACATTTGTTCTATTAATTTTTTACTTCTATAGAAGAACATGCAACATCACATCAGCTTTAGACCATCATTTCATTCAATAAATTTCAATGGTATTATAATTACTACCATTACATGAGGTGGCGAGATTCCATCATCTTCTTTTTTACTTTGTTTTCTCCTCCAACTTCTCCCTTTTTTCTGGTGAATTTCCTCCCTCTTTTTTTCCAGTCAAATTCCTCCATCTGAACCTCTTTTGGAAGTCTTCTCTATCGAATCTGGTTTTTGCCGTTGTGAAAATAAGGTATGATGTTTTTGTATTGCTTTCTATTTATATGTGTTTTAAAAAAAGATGTATCAAGGTTCGTTTTTTTTCTTCTTCTTTTTTTTTGATTGCTTGATCTATTATGGTGATTTGTATTAATATCACCGCTTCTGTTTTCTAGACTTGGATTCCAAATTTAAAATTTCTTTTGGCTTTAATAGCATCTATAAATCATGGAAGATCATTTCTAGTTGATGTATATTGTTCCGCGTGACTTCGAATCCTTTGGTTTGTAAGGAATTTTTACTTACGGTTCAATCATTTTTTAGGCTTATTTATTCAAAAGAATTTCCTTCTTGATGGCCAATTTTTGTACTATTTAGGTACTGAACAAACGTTTGAGTGAATGCTTTGGTGGGTACGTCCCAAAGAAAATCAAACTTGATATTGCTATTGGAATGTATGAGGTACTAATGGCAAACTGTGATAATGGAGAGGTCAATTTGTTTGGACGTAATTTGTTCCGATGTGCTAGGGAAATTGGTATCACTTGGAGAAGCCGTGTTTATTTTCAATATATAGGAAATGATACCATGACATGCACAAATTTTGGCGTGTATGGTTTTCAAAGTGTTCTACCAACGCCCTTCACTCCATTTCTATTGCGTTGCAGTTTCAGAGTTAACGATGATTCATTCGAATGTTTCAGTGTAAGTGTTTAATCATTTGGGATCATTGAAATATGAAATCTGTTATGTTACTTCTTAATTATGTACTGAAAGTCTTCAGTCATTTAGATTTTAATAGGATAGTGTAAAATTTTAATGTTTTAGGTGGTTCCTACCAGTTTCGTGCAATCAATTACTATGGCGAAAACAGAGTTTGTAATTGTTCAATTCGGAGGAAGCAATTATGAGTTTCGATGGGATTCGGATTTGACTAGCACTGGTTTTCGTGGATTCCACTGGAGGAATTTCATAAGTTTTCATAAGCTAAATGGGAGGCACACTTGTTTGCTCACCTATGTGTATGAGACCTCCATCCTCCTCGATATTTTTTATGACCATGGATTTGATATTATAGTCCTGATTGTCACTCTCCGATGGATTCGAGAATAGAGGCTTCTTCCAAATACGAATTAATCTAACTCTTATCTTCCAACTATCCTGCAGAGGAGTTATTAGATCGAGTGTACTGTATTCTTCATCCATTGTCACACAAAATGCTTACTGGTTTGAAGAATACAGTAAATGGGCACAATTTTTATATCCTTGAATTCGAGAGTCCTTTTATAGATGGTTGCATAAAGCACCATCTGTTAGGCCTCACAAATTGTTGAGAGAACGGTATTTTAAATTTTCTAAGCTTCAATAGATCCAATGATGACTAAATAGGTTAGGCCAGCCATAGACAAAATGATGATTGGTTAGGCAAAACCACTTCTTGGCGCATGCATATGGATACAACAATCATTGGTTGAACCAAAGGCGGTTGAACGGTGGTACATATTTCGGTATGCCATGCAAACCGCTTTAATATTTTTCTGCTTTATATTGTGGATTAAGCATATACACAGCGGTTCATATTGCTTATTTTATTTTATCATGTACACTAATCATTCAAATTCAAAATTACAAATCAAAATCAGCCACACCACATGTCAATGTTCTACATACTGAATTTAGTCCCCATTTTTATACATCGTTTAATAAGATTTAATACCTTCAAAAATGTGTGTTTCAAGTCATGTATATCAAATATTATATATAGATTATATACTTATGTAGTAAACAATGGTTTCAAATTTTAATTACAATTTCATTTTTTGTTTCATGATTCATATATCATGCTGTACTATAATAATTTGTACCACTTTTTTTTAAACACAACTATAGAATATCTGCTGTTTAAAAGAATAACAGAAACAACATTCATGGCGAGTAGTGGAATATATAAAATAAGTGATCCCGGTGCAAGAAATAGGTGATTCAGGACGGTGTATCAAAACCGGTACCAATGTTGTTAAAGAATGACAAAAGAAGAAAACAAATAATAATTTAGGAGGGTTCATTACCGAAAAAGAAATAAAAAAAAAAAACCACAAAATAGCAAATCAGACTGAGGACGTTTAGGCGGGAAACAAATAAACGACAGCATGACACGTGTCCTAGGAAGGGGGAAAAGGGCCGGAATACCTGTCTCAAGGGCTGCTGTTTTAGTATACCAGATTCACCTTCGCAAAATACAACTGAACTGTTATATTGGGATTCCTGTAAAGAATGGTAAATTGAGGCAAACTATTCCCTGTTCTTGAAGGTTAGGCGGTACATCTCCATCTGTTTTTTGCAGCAACAACTACATTGTATTTGCGAAGTAGTGCAAACTGAAAATGTTGTCATCCACGAATATGGTGTCCTACGAGGCCTGTTCTAGTTTTTCTGCCCTCACATTTATGATAACTGTAAAAAAAAGAATCATGTTGTTGTTAACATTTTCTCCTCAAATTCTTAAAAGTAATTGTAACATTTTATGGAAAACCTCCCGATTCTTCAAAATTGGAGCATTATTTTGGACCGAAGAATATGGAAAAAGATTTTGAACTTGATTTTTCTATAATTTTTTGTTTTTTTTTATCAAATTTCTTAGTGATCCATCTATGTACAGTTTTCTTTTGTTCTTTTCTTTTGTTTTAAAGGAACAGGTAAAATTTTCTTTTTTCAATTCGTTTTCTTTTGTCCTTAAGTATGGAAACATATCCTTCACCCCAAGAGAGAAATAATTTTTTTTAAAAAAAATATACACTCCTTTTACTCTTTTCAAGCCCATCCATTTCCGGGTTTAATTCGGCGTCTTCCCCAATAGAGAGAATACAGAAGCGAGAAACTTCAACCCATTTCCAGACTGTCCCTAGCAGCCATGGAATCCAAATCAGACCCACCAAATAGAAACCAAATCAATCAGCTTATGGAGGATTGTCCCTCTTCTTCCTCTACTCCTAATCTCGAATCAGACCCCGAATTATTGATGCCCGATTTCCCCGACGAAATCGCCATTGAAATCCTTTCAAGACTGCCAGCTAAATCCTTGGGGAAATTCAAGTGTGTTGCAAAACCATGGCTTTCTTTGATCTCAAGCCAAGGATTTATCAAAACCCATCTCGCCGTTTCAGCTGAAAGTGACGATTTTTCCCACCACCGTCTCATCTTGTATGAGTTCACGGACAATAGATTCCAACACCGGCTGTACTCTGCGAGTTCTTTGCTGAATGAGGTGTTCGATGAAACGACCGCTGCTGCTGAGGTATTTAACATCGATTATATAATACAACCTTATGAGTTATTTTGGCTGGTAGATTCTTGTAGCGGACTTGTCTGCTTGATTAATATGGATAGGGAGTTGATTTTGTGTAACCCTTGTACTAAGAAATTTAAGAAATTGCCTGGGTCTGAAATCAGAAAAAGTAACACTCTTGGATTTGGTTATGATTCCTTGAATGACGACTATAAAGTGGTTGAATTTGTGGACAATAAAGTCAATATGTACAGTGTTAAAACTAGTTCTTGGCGCAAGATTGAGGATTTGGAGGTCATTACTCCAGCGTATGACAAACCGGTGCATTATGTGAGTGGAACCTTTTATTGGTCTACCAATGATGGAGTTGACGATTGGATGATTGCTAGTTTCGATTTGGGGAATGAAACGTATGGGATCATGGACCGTCCCCCAAAGAACAACGATAGCTAATATGACTATGGATTTGGAGAGATAGGAGGCTGTCTTTATGTTATCTATGATTATGGAGGTACTCATGTAGATGTATGGTTACGGAAGGACTCTTGGATCAAAGTTCTCGGACAGGAAAAGTATCTAACATCAAGAAAGTTTGACACACTGCACTTAATCAAGTTTGATTGTTAAAAAATCTGGCAAAAACAATTTGAGTTGATTATCCGTGGGAGTCTTATTACACAGCAGCAACAAAAGCATAGTTACGACATTTCAGTAGTAAAAGATTTGAATCAAACATTTCAGTGCTATTTTCAGATATTCCCAGAGCTTAGCTTAACATTGAAATCAAAGCTTATTTTGATAAGCTTAGTTCCTTCCGAGACCAGACCATCATGCCCACGTTCATAGCTACAGTATTTCTAATGTTACATGTGAAGGCATCCCTCCTAAGAGCTGCTCAGCACACCTTCTGGCCTCATTTGTTACCTCAGCTGCCCGACTGCGTAACTGAGGGCTGGAGAATAGATCCATATATTCCAAAGATCCAAACAGCTTGTAATGTGGATCAACAGTTATTTTCCGGAGGGAACTTGCATTTTCAAGGAAGTACTTGATTAGTTCGAGTTCGATTGAATGGCCTCGAAATTGAGATATCTCAACCACCCTAAGATGTCGAACAGGGTAATTTACAACATTCTCCGACTCTCTGCTGGCCCTTATTTGCAATGGGTAACCTAGCTGTAGAAACATAACATGGCCACTTAGCAAGCATAAGGCTGACAAACCAGTTCACTTCAATGGTACCACAAATTACCAGAACAAGATCTTAGAAGGGTGAAAGTACAGAGGAAAAAAAAAATCAAACATAAAAGAATAATAACTACACTGAGGGGTCTAAAGCCAGAAAAAGAACATCAAATATAAATATCTATTACCTGTATTACAAACTTCTCCAGGTTTGGTGATGCCCTAAAGAACGAAGTACATCCAAACATGCTCTCTTTAGAAGTTAATACAAGCATTAGAGATAGCTGCTTCAGTGCAGATAGCTGAGGTAGTTTTTTCCAATCATACTGGGTGAAAAAAAAAATTGCTCAACATAGGATGCAGCAAAAATAATTAAATAGAACTTAGAAATCATCATAGAGCAAAACTAGGGAAAGAAAATTACTCCAGTAACACAATCAGCAAGATGCATACCTCTCTAACCACCGAAGGACCCATTACTAAAGAAAGAACCTCAAGCTTTGAAAAGCAGCATGAAAGTCGGCGAACAACATCCTCAATAACGTAACAAGTAGAGGAGATCCCAAAATGAGCGATCTGGGAAACATTCTTAAGCACTAGTGCTTCTGGCCGACAAATCTTAAGGGAAATAAGATTAACATTGCTTATGGTGAGGGTTTCCAAGGGACAATAGGAAATTTCCAAGTGTTGTAATGCAAGAAATGGACCACTAATTTCCAAAGTTGTTAACTCTGTTGCGTAATGAACACCCAAACTTTCAAGATTTTTGCAATTCATCAAGAGGAGTTCAAGTTCGCCCCCGGAGATATATACCCGTGTAAAAATCAACTCTTTGAGAGAATTCCAACTTCTCTGCTCAAAATATGCACAAGGCAAAACATAATCCTCACCACCGAACTCACCTATGCAATGGTGTGAAAGGTTCACTTCCAGCCTTTGAACTCTCCTGTCAAAGGCAAACTGAAGCCACTCATCTAATTCTTCTCGAAAGGAACCACTGAAATAACAATAAATTCTGAATTTATTCAAAACCAAGGTTTGATGGGACTGCAACACCTTCTTTACCCAGTTAACAAACTTGGGCCTTTCCCTTATTGCGTGACGCACGTAATTCTCCAAACTTACCTTCTCCCATGATACATTACTATGTTCGTTGAAATCAAGATCAGGAACATAAGTCCAAACATGCTTCCATCTCTTTGACAAAATGCTTGTTCTGCCAGCTTCTTTAAGCGTTACAAGTGACAAGATACAGATAAGGATTTCATCCGGAAGTTCACTAATCCGATCTTCATGTAAATGCTGCGGTTTAACGAATGTTACAAACAGAATAAATTCAAAGATGAATAAAAAGTAAACAATTAAACATGAAATCCAGGTATAGGAAATGAAGAATCAGCATAATCACAATCGCACTAAAACTATCATTGAAAATTGTGGTAATTAAATATTATACTCCATCCGTCCTCAAAAAATTATCTATATTGAGTTTTGTCATACTAAAAATATTATACTCTCCATGTCCTCCCCCACCCCAAAAGCCCAAAGACGCCCACAAGCCAAAATCTCAAAATTTCAATGCCCAAAACAAACAATCATTATAGTAATACTGATTTAAAAAAAAAAAAACAAAGCTGTAAATTCACATGCTGATAGTAAATAGAAAAATACAACAGACAAACCATAGAAAACAGAAGGGTGTTATATAAGTTTCTAACCTGGTAAGGATTCGTCTGAACCTTGGGATGATGATCCAGCCCTTTAACGATTTTCTTCTTTTCTTCCATTACTTTCTCGGATGCGTCATGATTCGGGTGAAGCATCCGTAACCCTATAAACATAACCAAGCTACTCAGAGCACTGCTGGCTGCATATAGCATCAGTTGTGGCAAGAACTTCATGTCCTTTGAGTGGCCCTTGATCCTTCCCTAAATTCTGCCCCTAACTTCTTTTTCCCCCTTCAATGAAGAGTAAGACAAACGACAGAAAGACGATTCAATGAGGATTATGATTTACAAAGCGTTTAAAAGGAGAGGAAGAGGAGGTTTCGGGATTGTAGATGGAATAGGAAGAGCAAATTTGATAATCCCAATTACCAAAGGGCGTTGGATTTGAATTGAAGGAAGCTCCAATTGTGAACTGGATTAAATGTCTTCGCCGTTGTAATTCGTGCAGCTGAGCTCACCGCCATTACCTCAGAACTCTGTTCGGCAGCTCCCACCGACGCCCACCGTATCCATTCCTTCCTCATCCTCACTACTCAACGTGCTCTCACAATCGACGGAGATGAATCGGAACCGTAGCCTTCGACGGTGGATTAATTGAAGCATCCGGCTGCTGCATCGAAGGCTTTGCAGAGGTTACTGGTGAGCGTTTTCTCAGCCCGAACAGATAATAAGGCGTTGGTTTCATGTAGCGATTGGGAAGACTGGGGAGCCGTCAAATGGTAAGAATGCCATAACGGCCTCGCCGTCTTAGTCGTAGTAGTAGTCGGCGTCGGAGGCGTGTGAAGGGGGAAAAGAGGGAGAGAGGACTGCAACTTAGCAAACAAACAAAAAACAAAGAAAATGAAATTAATTGTATTAGTATGTATACCACAAATTATATAGGGCACTCAGTGCTCCCAAGTTAGGGAGTTCCGGAACGGAAGCATCACGTTTCCTGAGAAGAACTTTGCCGTTTTGCGATGAACTTCAGACATAGGATGAACTTACGCTTTCGCAGGATGAGCATTCATTTCATTGAAGTGAACATTGCAGTTAGAAAGATGAGATATCATATTTGTACAATTATTTTTCTCAATGAAAGATGTTTGAATTTAGGATGAACATTACGCTTTATAGGATGTGCATTGTATGTTGTTCAGTGCACAACAGAAAATCTTTATTGAATTTATATTTTGATACAAAATAGTGCAAAAATTTTGATGTGTTTTTTAATTATTATCAAGATGACAGTAGTCAGTAGATGCAAAAAAAATTTCAAACAAATTAAAAAAACAACATTTAAAACAATTCAACTCCGTGTCGGTTTAGGGTTTAGGGTTTAGGGGTTTAGGGAGGGAGGTTTAAGCATTTCAATTATAGGTTAGGGACTAGTTTGCGCCGGAAACGATTAACCTTTTAAATTTGTTTAAACCAATTAGGCTTGGGTCTCGTTTAGCCTAATTGGTTTAAAAATTTCAAACAAATTTCAAAAAAAAATTAATGAAAATTCATCTCGTGAGTCGGTTTAGGGTTTATGTTTTAGGGGTTTAGGGAGTTTAAGCATTTCAATTATAGGTTAGGGACTAGTTTGCGCCGGAAACGATTAATCTTTTAATTTTTTAAAAAAATTAATAAAAATTCATCTCCTACTCGGTTTAGGGTTTAGGGGGTTTAAGCATTTCAATTATAGGTTAGGGACTAGTTTGCGGTGGGAAACGATTAACCTTTTAAATTTTTTTAAACCAATTAGGCTTTACGAGACCCCAGCCTAATCGGTTTTAAAAAATTTCAACCAAATTTAAAAAAAAATTAATAAAAATTCATCTCCGGCTCGGTTTAGGGCTTAGGGTTTAGGGTTTAGGGTTTAGGGGGGTTTAAGCCTTTCAATTATAGATTAGGGACTAGTTTACGCCGGGAAACGATTAACATTGTAAATTTTTATACTAAAAATAAACGATTAAGTTATTGTTGCAGATGAGTGTTCAACATGATCATTGTGTTTAAAAGGATGAACAATGTATTTTAACTAGATGATCATACGGGACATTTGACAAATAAGGGGCATGGCTCTAAGATGAACATTGTAATATAATAGGATGCACATTTAAATTGGTGCAATGAACAACAGAAATTTCAATGAATTTTATATTTTCAAAGTGATCAAAGACATTTCAGTAGGATTCACATTGTAGCTACAAAGTTTTGGGATGATAAGTCAAAAATTGAAGTCCAATAGCAGTGCGCACTAGTTGAATTTACATAGAACTTTTTGCCCTATAAATTTTCTAGATAAAATCCATTGATCTTTCCTTGAAGCTCGGATACAAGCTGTTGGTTCTTGATTGCAGGATTTCAGCTAGATATTTTATCTCGCAAAGTGTTAAGGCAATCTTGCGGGTTTACTTTTGTCCTCGATTAAAAGCATCAAAACGGGAAGACAGTACTCTTGTCTTGGTTTTGTTGCATGACAACATTAACATTAATAAGATGAGTAACCATACGACGAACAATCACATCTATAAAATGAATAACTAAGTCTCACAGCAGAGATCTGGGTTGAAGTTAGAGAACATCAATCCAGTAATGAACATCAAACAAAATCAACATCAGCATACAGGATGAGCATCAAAGTATGCAGGATGAACAACCTAACATTTTTCTGTCAAAATGAGTATTGAAGCATACAGGATGAGCAACCCCACAAAACAATACAACAAGCTTTAAATGAACAACTGAGCCTCACAAGATGAACAATAATCCATAGCTCATGAACAATCACATCTCCAACAGCTGAGCCTAAGGAACAACTGGTTTATTCTCCCCCATAATCCCCAACCACCCTGAACTCTTGAAGTGAAGTCAGTGCAGAGATAGAGATTCAACAACAAAACAAAATTGACAAATTACACTCCTAGACCAACTGAATAATCAAAATATCGCCATTCATCAATGAGATCATTAAAATTGCACCTCAGATTCCAAACAGAGCTCCGCTTCGAACCTAAAATAAACAATAATGAAGCAGGGGAAAACCGTGCTTTCTCCAAACTACTCAAATCCTAATTCTTAAAAAAAAAAAAATCCAAATCTTAATAAAGTAATGTTCATTTTGTAAAAATAGAATACTTACTCTGATATTGCGGGCTTGATTTTGTGTTTTTCACGGTCAAAAGATTCACCGAACGGAGTTTTGAAAATTCCGGTACAAAATTCACGGGACGAAGGTATGAAGTGCACTTTGTAACAATCGGAGAGATGTTTCTAGGAGATTTAGCGGATGGAATCTCGAGAATTGGGGAGGAAATTAGCCGGAGGAAGTTATGCGGAGATCTGGAGTGAAAAATCGTCAGAGGATTTTGGGAGAAATCTTGTGAAATTTTTTGATTTTTAAATAAAGTCATGACTATTTATATTTTTTCAGTTGAAGCGGTGACCTTCTTGTAATTAACAGAAAGTTGGGTGCAAGTGGGGTGTTGTGAGCGCGTATTGTATAAACCAGAGCTCCTAATTAAGTTGCTCCAGCGTCCCAAATATTAATTGGTATGTATACAATCGTCATTTTAGTCATTTCAATATTTTAACTTTTATTTAAAAAGTAAATGGTAATATTATTAAAATTCTGAGGATTTATGGTAAATAATGTCAAAACTTTGGGAGTAAAATGTAGTTCACTAAAACAATTATTTTAAAGGAAATGTCGGGGTAAGTTTTAGTAACTGGGTGTCGAAAGAGTACGGTTTAATCATGGATCAATATGGCTATCTGGAGAGAAGGTTTTACTATGAACACTAGTTCTGGTTGCATCACTGTTTTAAGAGTTAAATTATGTGAAGAGATCGAGTTGTTAAATTAAAGAGTGAACCACATAACAAGTCATTGAATTATTGGGTAATTAAATTTCATCACATGTTATCAATCAAATTTATTCTCAAAATCGACCACCGTACTAAGCCAAACATCCATCCGAAGTAATTCGTTAATTTTAGTGTTAAATAGTAACAGAAAACTATTTTCACATGCCCAAGTTGAATTAATTCTTGAAATTTAGTAAAAATACAAAATCACAAAAATACCCATGAACCCAAACGCATGTCAAAAATAGTTTTCCGTTACTATTTAACGAGGTAAAATTAACATAATGACTTGGATGGATTTTGGCTTAGTCCAATGACCGATTTTGGGAATAAATTTGATTGATGACCTATGATGAAATTACCAATAGTTCAATGACATGTTTTGTGGTTCACTCTAAATTAAATTATGTTCGTAAAGAAGCAAACTTTGTTGCGAATATCTTCGAGGTTTTGTTAGGTGATAATCAATGGATGAGATCATCTTGAGTGTACCTAGTACCACAATGGTTCCCCTCCTATTTTTGCATTATTAGTCTTTATTGTATTTTTTCTAAATAATTTCCTATATTTTGCAGATTTAGTCCCTGTGACTTTTTTCTCCCTCCTTTAAAAAACATCTCTAATCTTCAAACGAGCATATCTCATAATCCGTGAAGAATTAGAAAATGAATTAAATATGAAACTTATAGTACTGACGAGATCTATCTAACAAGATCCATATCGAATATTTTTTTCCGAACTTAAACGTATTTAAATTTTATGGGCAGAAATGAAGGAATGTAGATATTTTGAAAACACTTATTCATTGTGTTCATGCTGATTATCCAACCAGTTTGAACTATTTATCCAATTATTTTCACTGGTTATCCAAATGAATTGTAATGTTTATCCAATTTTTTTCGAAAAAAATGATTGTCCAGTGTATTCATATCGATTATTCAACCGGTTTGGTTTGGTAGTGCCTATCCACTTACTTTGTATGTCCTATCCATCACTAAGGAAGGAATGTCCAAGAGAGTTCAAATAGAGACGCTTGCCTATTTGTTTTTTTGGTACTTATCCAGCATTTTTCTAACGGTTAGCTATTATGTTTGTACTGCTTATCCAATAATTTATTTTGTACAAAGTGGTTGTCTAACGTGTTAGTAGTGGCCTTTTTTTTTTGACGTGTTAATAGCGGTTATCCAAGTTATGGTCCTGCTTATGCAGCCATTTTCTCCAACCATTCTTTTCATTTTACTTTTTATGAAAATCCTTGTCTAGTTTGTTTGTACTGACTATTCAAACATTTTGTGTTGGTTATAAATCATTTTTTCTGCTTATCTAAACAGAATTTGTACT